TTGACATTAATTTGGTCATCATATTTGTATATTATGAGGTATAACTGTTGACATTAGTTTGGTCTTCATAATATTTGTAGTCCCATTTTTTTCACCATGCTCCTTAACTTTCATTACTAGAATTTCCAGATTAATTACATTTTTCAGTTATCATAGTGTCAGTAGCATAGCACAGGTTATTGTTGTTTCCTCTGTTTTTAAATCCAGATTCATCTTATTCCAGTCAAATGTCCCTCTATATTTATATTCTGCATTTGGGTTGAATGAATGTGGAAAGAACATAAAGCTATATTTCACACCTCTTTTTACATGGAGCCAATCTATTTCAGCCTGTTTCATCTTGACCATGGCTTTCTGATCGGTATATAAGTTTTGAATAATAAAAATGAGATATTCTGAGCTTCACATTTTCCTAAGGACATTCCACAACTCAATGTGCTTGACAGAATTGAGGGTATTTTAATATTCAATTAAGCAGTCTTGACATCTTTTTAGTATTCTTTAGTATTCTTTCAATTATCCATTATGCACCAGCAGAAAAGTCTCTTGTTTCTCAGCTTTTTCTAAAAACATTTTGAACATTTCCATTTCCATGTAGAAATCTAATGTATACTGGACTATTCTATATATTGCTTTGGTAAGATGTGGAATTAAGGATATTGTGTGATAGTTTGCACGCTCTGTTAAGTCTTTCTTTGGTATTGCTGTGTAGACTGAGCTCCTCCAGCCTATTGGCCATCATATCATTCTTCAGGTTTGCTGGCATAGGTTTGGTTAGAAATATTATTGATCATTTGCCCTATTTCTCTAAATATTTCATCGATTCTTGTAGCCTCCCAACTTGGTAGTGGCTGAGTGTTGATCTAATAGTACCAGGTACTCTTGTAAATAGGGACTATCTTCCAAAATTTCTTGGATATTGACATCTCTGTGGTACAGATAGTCCTCAACTTACAACCATTCATTTAGTGACTGAAGTTACAATGGCACTGAAAAAAAGTGATTCAGGATCATTTTTCACATTTCTGACCGTTGCAGCATCCCTGTGATCATGTGATTAATATTTGGATGCTTGGCAACTGGCATATATTTAGGACACTTGCGATGTCCTGGGGTCATGTAATCACCTTTTGTGACCTTCTGACAAGTAAAATTAATGAGGAAGCTAAATTCACTTAACTGTGCTACTTTAATAACTGCAGTGATTCACTTACCAACTGTTGCAAGAAAGGTCATAAAATGGTAAAACTCACTTAACCACTGTCTTGGTTAGCTATGGAAATATTGGGTTCAACTCTGGTCGTAAGTCAAGGACTATCTGTACAGAACCTCAGTATCTGCCTCCCATCTTTTATTTTCTTTGAATCAATTATTATCTGTTCATTGGCACCTTTAGCATATTGATTTGAGTTTGGAATTTTCTTCTAGGTTTAGAGAACTTTTAGAAGAATTTCTTTTTCTGTATCTGTTTCCATCCTTGATGTTTTTACAGGTATCACTGTATTGGTGCTTCCTGTTTTTTCTAATGGCTGTCGGAAACTCTAAGTTAAATTCCTTCCTTGAATAAACAGAGATGTTAAGAAATATCTTGACCAATCTTGTTCTTGAGGACATGAGGACATGCCAGCTAAAGAATCCCTTAAAGTTATTAACTATATTAATATTAATTTATTAAATTGTATTTATTATATGTATTAAAGTTGACTGTCTAGCTTCTATTTATGAAGCTTAATTATACTTTCTTGGAGATTATTGGATTAACGAACGGTTGCTGGAATTGGGTATGTCTAGTTTAATGAAGAAAAGGACGAGGGGGGACATGATAGCAGTGTTCCAATATCTCAGGGGCTGCCACAAAGAAGAGGGAGTCAAGCTATTCTCCAAAGCACCTGAAGGCAGGACAAGAAGCAACGGATGGAAACTAATCAAGGAGAGAAGCAACCTAGAACTAAGGAGAAATTTCCTGACAGAACAATTAACCAGTAGAACAACCTGCCTCCAGAAGCGGTGAATGCGCCAACACTGGAAGTCTTTAAGAAGAGACTGGATGGCCATTTGTCTGAAATGGTGTAGGGTTTCCTGCCTGAGCAGGGGGTTGGACTAGATGACCTCCAGGGTTTCTCCCAACTTTTTACTACTACTACTACTACTACTACTACTACTACTACTACTATTATTATTATTCTAATGAACAGCAAGATCTTCTGACAAGGTGGCATCTTCAGTGACAGAGCAAATATTAATTATGTAGAAAGCCCCAGTGAGGATACAATACAACACAAATGCTATAAAGATCTTTCTTCTGGCCATGAACCAAGAAAGGCAAGGAAGCGCTTAGGGAAATATACCTGGCCTGGAACAAAAGGCTGTTTTTTTACTCCCAGGAAACATTTGAGGAATTTCATAAAAAAACAGAGATTCAATATGATCAGTGAAATTCCTTCAAGGTGGTGAATGCCTTATCTGTTTGGGTACCCATTCATCAGCAAAGTCTGACTATGGTCATGATTTTTTGCATCAAAAAGTTCTTGTGATTTTTATTATACTCCAAAAGAGAAAATCCGGATCCCACTTCTTCATTGGATATAAATATTACACCCATTGTACACCATATATTTCTGGAATGGGAGAGGACTAAATCCAAATGCAATTTAAATCCAAATAAATCCAAATCCACTTTTTTGCATGTTTCTTTCTGTTGGTAAATATTTCTGATTTTAAAGAAATAATTGCATTTGCTTTATTCTTTTCCCTGATCTTTTGAAGGAGTGATTTTTATTTGTTATGAGAATGTGGCTCTTATTGCTCAGCTGTAGAGATTATGGGAAGTAAAATGGCATTTTGACTAATGCAATGCCCTTTTCTGAAGCAACTAGTCTAGGATAGCCCCTTCTTAACAAGTTGACTGGATGAATGCAAAACACCAGGCCATAATGTTTTCCTTGATCACAGCTTAGTGTGCCATGTGAATCCATTTCCAGTGGTTTGATGGCTTCTGTGAATGCAATCAGTGGTTTTTTTTTAATTTGATAAACCATGGTCAGTTGCTCCTATTTGGCAATAAAATTTCCCTTTTGAAAGCTCTTGAATATTTACATTTTTAAATGACTAAGTTCCCAGACAACTCATTGTGATCTGGAAAGGGATCGTGAAAAACTGAATCTAGCCATTCAATGTGTGGGATTTGTGATGAACCCATGACATAATCTGGAATTTCAGTATCAGCATTTTGTGTTTTGTCTTTCAAAGTTGTGCTAACTCAAATTTTGTAACTGGGGGGGAGGGAATCTGGATTTAGAAGTGTAACTGCCCAATTCCAAAATCTGACATAGTTTTTTTTCGTTCCAGTAGAGGTTCTTTTGCTTATTTTTAGCAACCATTTTATAAAAAGAAGATATGTGTTGGACACTTTATCAAATAATAATAATAAGAGTAGAAGCTGTTTGTATTGTTTGCAGCATCTAGTAGCCAGGTTACCTTTTCTTGACTGATTTTTGAAAGGAAATCAAATCAAATCAAATCAAATCTGACAAGCAGAAAAACTGCTGTGTTCATACTGTTATATACTGTTCCATAACTATGTTGTATGTTACTACAAATTTCAGGTTTTTTAATAAATTATTTTTGTCATTCACCTTCACTCCTGTGACCTACACATGTAATAAACTTGCTGCACATGCTCCTAATAGAAAACCCGTTTTTTGTTTGTTTGTTTTAAATACAAAGAAATAATTCACATTTACTTTTAGAAGACAGTACCTTTGAAAAGGCTCACTTTGTGAACATTTGGAGAATGAGAATTTGTGGACAGAGCCAATGTGGAGTAGTAATTAAGGAGCAGGGATGCCCCATTTTTAGGTTTCTCTCTCAACATGGAGGATCCACTCAATGTGACACCCAGTATAAACTAAATAATACATTACAAGGTATGTAAACAATAACCTTTCAGAAATAATTGAACTGCAACTCCCAGCAGAGTCAACAACAAACTATGGCAGTTGAGGGTGTTTGAAGTGGTTATTCAGCAACTTCTGAAAGGATGCCGGTTCTTTATCTTCTAGTATGCAACAAGGAAGGAAGGAAGGAAGGAAGGAAGGAAGGAAGGAAGGAAGGAAGGAAGGAAGGAAGGAAGGAAGGAAGGAAGGAAAGAAGGAAGGAAGGAAGGAAGGAAGGAAGGAAGGATTTTATGAACAAATTCAATGTTAAAAGGGGGTGTTTTTTTAAAAAAAATGTTTATTATATTTTTAAAAGAAATATGAAAACACATCTTGTTCACCTTTCTCACAGCCAGAAAAGCTAGGTGAAGGCCTACTTTTTAAAATAAATCTTAAAAAGTAGATTGAAAATTACATCATCGTATTACTTTGATTCTCTGCCCCCTGTCTATAAAGACATGATAGCTGAGTAGAAGCTATCCGTAAACAGGAGCAGTCTATCTCTAGATTCCAAATGCTGGTAATAGGCAGCTGGCATGAGGACTGATTGTTGGGGAACTTCCACAGAGTTCCCAACCTGTTCTTTGCATGTTTGTTCTAAATTAGATGGTAATTCTATCGGATCCGGCTGCCCTTCTTTTACTTTCTCAAATTATATTAATTGGCATTTCACAAGTTAAGGAAATGAAACTTAAATATCAGACACCGTGGACAACAAACAGAATAAGGCTATTGCAATGGTGACCTATTTATGGACTTTTCCAGAGATCTTTGAATGGTAATCATTATGAAGAGTGTGTTGGATGGCATATAGCTGTGGTGGTGAACCTATGGCACGCGTGCCACAGGTGGCATGCAGAGCCCTCTCTGTGGGCACGCACGCCATTGCCCCAGTCATAGGCCTTCAGCTGGGTTTTATAAAACCTTTTCACTTTAGGCCTCCACAAAAAAAAAGGTTCAATCAATCAATTTCAACTTCTGACAGGAAAAAAAAGATCCCGCAAAGTTGGAATTGATTGATTGAACTTTTTAGTCTCACCCAGTCTGCCGTTACCACCGTAGCCACGCCCACTCAATGGGCCACACCCACCCAATGGACCACGCCCACCCAGCACCCGACGATACATAAGTGGGTTTTGGGTTGCCGTTTGGGCACTTGGTCTCTAAAAGGTTCGCCATCACTGGCATATAGGCTTTTCTCTGATTTGGGAGAGAAACTTTCTTTTTGGCACAGCGATACTTGGCCTTGACCTTGTAAACCAATTCAACTGTTCAGGCTCATATATCAGAAACACTACATGTGACCATGAGAGACATGGTGACTGAGGAATTCTGGGAGTTGAAGTTCAACCCTCTTAAAGTTATTGCAGGCCTTTCTCCCGGCATTCACTATCTGCCCTTTCCATAACTGGAATTTGGAAGACCTCCAGCCTGAAATGGTGGCTTTCTGCAAGCAAGGATTTTCTCATTTATCAGGAGCTACCCTGCACAGTTCAGAGGCTTTTAAGGCCACCTAGAGGCAAGAACCTCAGACTGAGATCTGCAAAGCCTTCCAGATTTGAAACCAGAGCAAACACTGTTTTGTTAGGATGGCACAGGCCAGTACCAGTAGACACTGACTATGTAAACATAGTCTCTATGTAAACTAGCCAAGATGGGTTATCACTCGCGAGAATATTGCACAGACTAGAAGTAAACTTTCGGATATGGCAGAAAAAAAGAACGAGAAGATCTGAAGTCTGAGTCAGATGTCTCTAAGGTTCGAACTCAGAATTTCATGAATGACAGACAGACACTGTCCGTGGAAAGCTTCTGCCAAGTGCAATCCTCAGTCTCAGGAAAAATTGTAGCATTCAGGCAAAAGTCACCCTTGTGCAGGACAGGGAATACAGGCCCAGCGATGGCCCTTCCTGTTGTCAGTAATAGACTCTGTCTCCTTCAACTGAGTTGGGCTTTCTGCTCAGCAGAAACTTCTTTAGGGTCAGCGTTGATCTGAGTTAGCAGTGGGCTCTCTTTTCCAGGGCTGTGGGTGCTGTGGAAGTCGTTCAGTTGGCTACGGATAGGGACACCCTTGCTCCGCAGACTGGCTCCCTTGGAGATGAGATGGGCGTATCCTTCCTTGTGGGAAAAGGCATAGCTGGAATGCCTCAGGAGCGAATTCCTACTGTTGTGAGATGTCAGCTCCACCGTGGATTGCTTCTTCTGGATCTCCTGGACTTGAAACATCTGAAAGGAAAAAAAGAAGGAAGGTGGATCGGCATAAAACTTATGTACCAGTCTTCCTGATTCTGCGATCCTCCCTCTGGGATGAACTATAGCACCCATACGCCCTCAAAACTGAGCATCTCACTCCGTCAGGACATTTCCAAGTTGGAAAGGGTCTACTTATTAATGTTAGTACTTTCTGGGAATGCAGATTTTGATGTGGCCAAAATAGAACATTCTCTCTACAACAAAGTTATGAGCAGGTTTTTGGGGGAACCCAAAGATTTATCCTAGCAAATAAATTTTCCTTGGAGTCCAGATCAGCCTAGTAACCAGGGATGTCTGCAAGCAGGGGCTCAAAGTAAATCAGATAGCAGTCATAACTACGTGGCCAAAGCCCCACCCTTTTGTATATGTGTCACATGGTGTCAGGTGCAAGCAACCAGAGCCGCTGGTAATTAGCTAAAGTAAGCAACTCTATTCTCTCTGCATAACTTACAAGAATCTCCCAAGAGTGCTTGCCTCCCCCTAGGAATGACCAGATAAGGCTTCATGGATCTTGGTGGATGTCAAACTTATGTCTTTTGTGGCTGCACAAGGATGCTAAGCTAAGCCCACATTTGACCCCTCTCCTTCCAACCTAGTTGGCAGCTTCCCAACATATGGATGTGGTTATCACCTTGACTTTTTTTTGAGCCCCTCCCTGCAAACACATCTCCTGTTGACTTTCTGGACTGTGACAATTTCTCTGTAATAGTATCATAGTGGTTTTCCATTGATGTCTTCCAAATGTTTTCAAACTCCCCAGTCTAATGTACAACTCTGGGGTTTCCTTGTATTATTACTCAGATCAACCTATCTCCAGAAGCGGTGAATGCTCCAACACTGGAAGTTTTTAAGAAAAGATTGGACAGCCATTTGTCTGAAATGGTATAGGGTTTCCTGCCTGAGCAGGAGGTTGGACTAGATGACCTCCAAGGTCCCTTCCAACTTTATTATTATTATTATTATCGAGCATCGCACAGTCAGCCAGATGTTCAGACTGGATTTGGCATTTTGTCTACCTATCGAGTCCTTACCCAGGACCTGGGATAGGCAGATGTGGATGTTTGACGGTATTACAGATATCGTCGCAGGATGGAAGCAGTTCCTAGTAAGGCCGCCTTTTGCAGTTGACTAATAGCGAATTTGTCAATGCCAATGGTGTTCAAGTGGTGCTCCAGTTGTTTTGGGATTGCACCCAAAGAGCCTATTACTATTGGTACTACCCTTGCTTGCTTCTGCCACAGTCTTTCTATTTCTATTTGTAGGTCTTTGTATTTTGTTATCTTCTCCAGTTCTTTCTCGTCTATTCTGCTGTCTCCAGGCACTGTCACATCCACTATCCAGACTTTTTTGTCTTTCTTATCGACAGTTGTTAAGTCTGGGGTGTTATGTTGCAGGTGCTTGTCTGTTTGAATTCTGAAGTCCCAGAGCAGTTTAATTTTATAATTTTCTATGACTTTCTCTATTTTATAATCCCACCATTTTTTGCTTACAGGCAAATGATATTTTTTGCAGACCTTACAATGCACCATTGTTGCTACTTTGTCATGATGATGATGATGATGATGATGATCCGACTTTGCATAGAGTTTTGAGATCAGTCAAAGTTTATTTGATGCTGCTACTTCCTGCACCTTACAGATAACCCTTAACTTACAATCACAATTGGAACCAGAATTTTGTTGCTAAGCAATGTGGTTGTTACATGAGTGTTTCCTGATATTACAACTCTTCTTGCTCTACAGATAGTCCCCGACTTACAACATTTATTTAGCGATTGTTCAAAGTTACAATGATAATGAAAAAAAGTGACTTATGACCGTTTTTCATACTACAACTATTGCAGCACCCCTCTGGTCCCATGATCAAACTTCAGATGCTTGGCAACTGGCACGTACTTATGACTGTTGCAGTGTCCCCGGGGTTATGTAATCACCTTTTCTGAACTTCTGACAAGCAAAGTTAATGGGGAAGCTAGATTCACTTAACAACCTGTTACTAACTTAACAACTGCAGTGATTCACTTAAGAACTGTGGCAAGTAAGGTCGTAAAATGGGGCAAAACTCACTAAACTTGCTTCTTGCTTAGAAATGGAAATTCTGGGCTCAACTCTGGTTGTAAGTTGAGGACTATCTATAGTCGCTAAGTGACTTCCCCTATTAACTTTGCTTGTTGGAAGCCTCCCTGAGAAGCTCATAAATGGTGACCATATGACTCTAGGATGTGGCAACCATTTTATATACATGCCGGTTGCCAAGCAACCAAATTCTGATCATGTGACTATAAGGCTGCTGCAATGGTTGTAAATGCACTGGTCACAAGTCACTTTTTTCAGCACTGTCAAATGGTTAAGATAAGAGATAAGATAACCTTTATTGTCATTTTTTTTTTTACTGTGGGCACAACGGCACACATCAAAAATGAAATTTAGTTGCCCGCTCTCAAAGTGAAATATACATGACACACACCTAAACATGCTATGAACAACATATGTATAGACCCACACCCCTACATATATGTAGCAAATAAATATTAAATACTGTCCATCTTGAATATATAACGGAAGGAGGAAGCTTGAGGGAGCTTGAGAGTTGTTAAACAAATGGTTGTAAGTCAAGAACTACCGTACCTATGCAGTAGTACAAAAGTACAAAAGTATAAAACACACAGCAGGGAAGGCTGGGGAACCTCTAAAAATGGGAACACCAAAATCTTTGTGGATTGGAAAGAAAGAATTTTTCTTGTCCAATGTAGGTTGGGATGTAGGTGAATGAAAAAAGGGAATAGGGATGCAAAGGAATATTTACATTTTATTTATTATGTCTGTCTGTCTGTCTGTCTGTCTGTCTGTCTGTCTATCTATCTATCTATCTATCTATCTATCTATCTATCTATCTATCTATCTATCTATCTATCTATCTATCTATCTATCTATCTTCCATCACATTTATACGGCTGCCCATCTTGCCAGAAATGATACTGGGCAGCATACAATAATCAAATAAAACAACAATACATAAAAAACCTCATTATAAAAAATATAAAACAAGTATGATTAAAAGTGAAACATATTATTAAAGATTAAAACTTATTCTGTCAAGGCAGTGGTGGGATTCAGTCAGTTTGCACCACTTCAGCAGAACCGGGTAGCTAATTTTTGTGTTGCCCAGGCCCAGAATGGACTTCCGGAAGCACCATCCACACAGAAGGTTATCTGATTTTCTCTACTACTAAAACAATGTTTCTCACTTTGGCAACTTTAAGATGTGTGGACTTCAATTTCCAGAATTCCCCAGCCAGCTGGGGAACTCTGGGAGTTGAAGTCCACACATCTTAAAGTTACTACAGCTGAGAAATGCTGCACCAAAGTGAAAAGACCTCCAACTTTTACCCAATTAGCCAACTTTTGCCTAAAATCCAGAAAAATCAAGGCTAGATTTGCACAGTGTCCCTAACTGGTTACTGACATTATCTAGCTTCTGAGTTCACATAATACACAAAATCAGAATCAAACCAGAACAGCATCATCCAACACACTAATCATTAAAAAGCCTGCCTTTTAAGCCAATTCATCAAGCCAAAGTCCCTCATCTGTGACTCTCCTTCCATCATTCCTGGCAACTGGACCAGTCTCTTCTGATGCTTGCTGAACTTGCAAGGGTGGACTCACCTCTGACATAGTTGGAGGGCTGATGGTACTATACACAAAACGGACTGCAAGAGAGGGGATGATGTTCACCACAATACATAGCAAGATGACAAGCACAGCAGTTGGGTCAGTCAGAGCATTCCTGGTGGCCCCTGGAAGAGAAAGGAGGATGCTGTGAGGAGGCCAATTCACACAACTTGCTAAACCTTCAACTTGAGTTTGCATAACAGTGTGCTGTGCAAATGAAGAGGTAGTCCTCGGCTTACAACTATAATTGAGCCCAAAATTTCCATTGTCAAGCCAGAACAATTATCAGTTTTGCCTCACTGAGTGACCTTTCCTGCTACAGTTGTTAAGTGAATCATTGCAGTTGTTAAGATAGTAAAGCATTTGTTAAGTGAATCTGGCTTCCTCATTGATTTTGCTGGTCAGAAGGTTCCCAAAGGGGATCACATAACTGTAACTGTCATAAACACATCCCAGTTGCCAAGCATCTGAATTTTGATCATGTGACCATGGGGATGCTGCAATGGATATTAAGTGGGAAAATCAGCCATGTCACTTTTTTCAGTGTCCTTGTAACTTCAAATGGTCATAGAACAAATGGTTGTGAGTTAAGGACTACCTGCATGCTGTTTTAGGGACCAATCTGATGACAATAAGACAGAGAATAGATTAATCACAATAGACCACAAAGGGTCCAGCATTTGTTCTGGCTTCTAGAATGAACCAACCAACCTCTTTCTTAGGTTGCCATCCCTTTTTAATAGGAACATTATGGTTTTAAGGCAGGAGAAGTTGGGAGAAAGTAAATAAGGGATCCAATTTATTTTACTCATTCTCTTTCTTTTAACATCTTGGGACCAGATTGTAAATATGGCCCAAGACCTCCCAGGAGTCAATCAAGCTTACAGCTTAGATCTGCATATGCAAGAGAAGACTCCTAATAGTTACATCTGGAGTTAACTTACCAGGATAGGGGAACATCTGGGGAGAGATATTGAAGGCTTGGAAGCTTTGAGTGATGTACGTGAGAAGACAATAAAGCCCCAGACTGATCAAGATGGCCAGGAAAGAGACGAGGGTCCAGAATTTCATCTCCAGCATCATCTATGCAAGGAAGGAAGGAAGGAAGGAAGGAAGGAAGGAAGGAAGGAAGGAAGGAAGGAAGGAAGGAAGGAAGGAAGGAAGGAAGAAAAAAAGACACTGTCAGAATTGCGCTGCGGCTAGGACAAATGATGGATTTGGGGGGAAGAGGGGTAAAGCCTGGACCAATCACCCTCTCTCACCCCAACCCACCTCACAGGGTGGTTGTTGTGGGGAAAATAGGAGGAGGAAGTGTGTTGGATACATTCGCCTCCTTGAGTTATTTGTAAAAATGATAAAGGCAGGAAACAAACAAACAAACAAACAAATAAACAAACTAGTAGAGGAGAATGGAAAGACCCAAAAGTGTTTTTTCCACCTCTCTCAGGAGGCAACTGGACTTTCTTGTGTTTCTTTTGAAGACGTTTCGCTTCTCATCTAAGAAGCTTCTTCAGCTCTGACTGGCTGGCTGAGGAATTCTGGGAGTTGAAGTCCACAAATCATAAAAGGGCCAAGTTTGAAGACCCCTGCTTTAGAGATTCCTTGAAACTAGGGTCACCTGAGTAGTGCCAATGTGTGTGGAGCCTTCTTGGCTCTAGTTAGAGCTGAAGAAGTTTCTTGGATGAGAAGCGAAACATCTTCAAAAGAAACACAAGAAAGTTCAGTTGCCTCCTGAGAGAGAGGGGGGGAGGGGTACATTGCACTAATAATGTTACTTAGTTGGGTAATGAAGTCTGTGCAAGAAAACAACCAAGCACCAAATTTGAGCTACAAATATTCTCTTCTATTGATATGTAAAACTTGCCATCAGTAAAATGGCTAGGAGCCACTTCCTGTGGGCATAGAAAATAGGACTAGAAATCATAGGTACATCTATCTAGATTTTGTATAAATACAGTGATACCTTGGTACTCATCATTCATTGGTTCTGGGAGGCACAATGAGTACCAAACAAATTTTTCCCATAAGGAATGATGTAGTGAGTCATAAAGCAGCTAACACCGACAGGTTTGATCATCTTAGTTGCTCTTCTCTGAACTTTTTCCAAAATTTCAACATATTTTTTGTAGAGATTTTGGAAAAAGTTCAGAGAAGAGCAACTAAGATGCTCAGAAGCTTGGAGATTAAAACATATGAAGAACGGCTGCGGGACTTGGGTTTGGCTAGTCTTAAAAAAAAGAAGAAATAGGGGCAACATGATAGCAGTAGTCCAGTATTTAAGGGGCTGCCACATAGAAGAGGGGGTTAAATTATTCTCCAAAGCAATAGAGGGCAGGACAAGAAACAATGGTTGGAAACTAATCAAAGAGAGAAGAAACCTGGAATTAAGGAGAAGCTTCCTAACAGTGAGAACAATTAACTGGTGGAACAGCTTGCAGTCATTTATCTGAAATGGTATACTGTAGGTTCTCCTGCTTGAGCAGGGAGCTGGACTAGAAGACCTCCAAGGTCCCTTCCAGCTCTGTTCTATTCTAAAGTTCTAGCTGCTGCATTGAGTACCAAACAAACAACGTGTACCAGCACATTCATATCAGAATGTGTTGAATATCAAATCTGATGAGTTTCAAAGCAGTGGAATATCAAGATACCACTGTATATAGAAAAACTTCCTGATAAGAATTGTAGAACAATGGAATTCTCTGAAGAATTTTAAAAAGAGGCTGGACATCTCAAGGATGCTTCAGTTGATTTTCTGATAGATTTCAGAGGGTTGGAGTAGATGATTCGTGTAGTCCCTTCCAACTCCAAAATTCTACGCTTCTATGGATTATCAAACATCAGCTTTGCCTTAGCGTCCATATTGCCAGGACTGTATACTTTTTAAGCTAGAGAATGGGCAGGTACACATTTTTTCTTTAAAAAATTGGAAGACAAACATAAGATCCAGAATAAAAATTTTTGGGAAAAAGCAAATTGGATAAGATTGAACAAAGGGGATTAAATTTTTTTTAAAGCTTTCTTAACTTTATGTTTTTTAAAAAAGCACCCTGATGTGCTTATAGTAGAGACAGGATATTTCTAGAAGGGTTTCTTCCCTTTCTCAGCACTTCCTGGAATGACCATGCACAATCCTGAGCCAGCTCTTTATTCATCTGATTTTGTGCCAACTCTGGGCTATCTCTGGGCAGTATCTTTAGGGATGCTTATGGAGGCATCAGCTCCTAAATCTACTCCCAGAGGAATTCATGGAGAAATTCTACTGCACTCAACCTTCCCACCACCACACAAACCTACTCACCTCGGCCATAACTGTCAAGATGGCAGAGGTTGCAACGATCATGCCAAAGGACTGATAATCACCAGTGACCCGGGTGCCTGATCTGTCCCCCATGGCCCACATGGTGATGTAGAAGTTGGCCAAAGAGACAAAGGATCCATGGATGAACGACACAAAGAATATTCCAAAATTGAAGAAGAGGTCTTTTTGACCTGCCTTGTACAGCTCAGGGAACTGCAGACTTTTCTTGTCATTCATATCCTAATGGGAGAAAGAGCAAAGGCAATCAGGAACCAGGGAAAAGGCTACTTGGAACAGTGGAACTAACTGTGCTATTTGAGGTTCTGGCTAAGTGGGATATTTCTTGGTTGTCTTTAAATCAGGGATGCACATTTTCATTTTTATTTTGCATTAGGGAAGTAAAAGATATTTACAAACATATCAGTGAGCATTGATTTAATTTACAGTGTAAAACAGGGGTCCCCAACCCTCAGTCCATGGACCAGTACTGGGCTGCAGCATGCCAGCAACCGGGCCACACAAACAAGCAAAGCCGCATCCGCAAGATGCAGGCAGCACACAAAACCATGCCCCTTCTGGTCCGCGGACAAACCTCTCTCCACAGAACCGGTCCCTGGTGCCCAAAAGGTTGGGGACCTCTGGTGTAAAACACTGCACAATGCAAAGATACTTACCTGTTCAAAAAAGCCCAAACATAGGACTGGGATCGAGGTGTAGACAACATTATAAAGAGCGAGGAACCAGCTCTCCAACAGAGGCTGAATGGAAAGAGAAAAAAAGAGAGAGAACATTAAAGAGATATCTTGAAATCCATGCCCAGGACTATCATTTTCTTTCTCAGCACATTCTATATGAAAGCATTATCCAGAATCAGAACAGAAAAAAAAATCTTTAAAATCTGAACACAGCTACAATTACGCTTCTAAAGTGAACCAGTTTTATTTGCACTTTGTTCTTCTTCCATTCTTTCAACCATTCTGAAATATCTATTTATTTAGCACACTCCCTGGGCTAAAATATTTCAGTGCAGTGCACAGAAAATATATTTTAAAAGAAAAAGGGAAATTCATATCTTATCATATCCTAAATACGATATTTGAGAGTGGACACCTAAATTCTTAACTTAGGACCCTAATGGATTCTGCCCATAATGGTTGTAAATCTTGAGGGTTGTGCAGTAGATCATCATTTGATCAACCTGATTTTATGACTTTTCTGTGGCAATTGTTAAGTGAGTCACCATAGTTATTAAGTGAAACCTTGGTCATTAAATGAACCTATTGTTTGCTATGAGGCATTTTTTCCAAAAACTGGAACTAAACATAAGTTTTTGGCAAAAAGGTCGTAAACCACGGTCACATGATTGTGGGACACGGCAAACAGGCTGGTTGCTGAACACCTGAAATGTGTTCATGTGACACTGAGGGCCATCAGAACTTTGGAACCAGGTTGCAAGAACCTTTTGTGGGATCCCCTGTAACTTTGAATGGTCACTAAGCAACCAGTTTTAAGTCAGGGAGCACCTGTAAGCTGTCGAGAGTCATGAATGTAAGATGGGCTGCTAATAAATTAAAAGCATCCCATATATAGTCCCCAACTTTTCCGGCTCAGCAGACCAGCAATGGTAGCAGCTGAGGGGGGGGGGGGAGAAGCTGGTTTTGTACGGGCATCCACTGCTTGCACAAATGGATTTTCGTGTGCTTGCTCACTCGCCTGATGCTTGTACAGACCAGTTCCCAATGGGCCGAGGACCGGTTCCCAACGCACTGTGGACCGTTACCAGGCCACAGACTGGGGGTTGGGGACCCCTGCTATATATGATACGTGCAAAGATATAAATGGGAAAAGGAAGTCTAAGGACCTTGATTTCAAGAAATGCCTCTCCTAATCGGAATGGATCTGCATCCTAGGACAAATTGCTGGGTGTCTTCAGCTTTTGTGCAATTGGGAGGCAGCTTTTCAATTGCTGTGCTTATCTTGTGGAACAACCTCTCTGTGGAAATTATGCTTGAAGATGCTAAAATGTGAATTATCTTGGAGGGCTTAGATGAAGGAGTGGACATCATACATCACTGGTAGATGTTTTGCTTTTAGGAGCTCTTGCTGATTCACTTTAACCAAACTGGGGCTGTTTGCACTGGATTATTAATGTATGCTTATAAACTGCAGAGAGTCTGTTAGATTGTATGTGTGTGTGTGTGTGTGGGGGGGGGGTTATCAATAGAAGGAAGGAGAATGAAAAAACCCACATCGGTGCATTGTATTCACAAAAATTCCTAAAGTTGGGTGGCTTTTCTGGGAAGGCAATATGCCAGGAAACACCAATTATTTCAGAGAAAGCCCACAGTCCTTGTGAATAATCACTAGTAGTCAATCTACAAATTACAGGATAAACAGATAAGATTCCCTGTGTTGATTTTCATGGCCAACTAATCAAGGCAAGGGCTTTGTAGGTATGTGTGAGTAACAACAACAATTCAGCTACTAGTGAAGATGTAGCTATGTTTGCATCTGCATAAGGAGACAATCTGAAAAAAATCCTGCCAGAAGCCCTGCAAACCATGGTTGCCTCTGGGCATCAAGGAGGAAGCTGTTTTTATGCCAGCACACTTTGCAGTGTATCTTTAAATGCTTTGCCCAGCCTTGCTCTCCAGTGCAGCTGATCCATCATTACAATATGCACCATGCTTTGTACACACAAATGCCACAATGTTTCCTTCCTTCTGTTTAACTGTGCCTCTGCCTTGCCCTTTCCCCATAATAGTGACTGATATAAGCATGCACAGCATCAGGCCCCAAGAACCAAGAAATACACACGGAATTACTTCTGAGCAGTTTTGTTTATTGTTCCTCTCCTATAGACATACCCCTTGCCAAACTAAAGCAACTATTTGCAGTACAAAAAATATACTCTGAGAATTTCTAGGCAGGAGCTTTCTTAACTCTCTTTCTCCTAACCAAACTGTCTAAGTCAAACATGTCAAACTTGCGATGTCACGTGACATCGCGCAACGTATCGGGACGGTTTTGCCATTGCTGGCAATGGGATGGGCACGGCTTCCAGATGACGCGTCTGGCCCGTGGGCCGGCAGTTTGACACCCCTGATCTAAGCTTTGCTGCCTCTTTGAAGCAAAGGTAAAATACATTCGTGTATCATGGTTGTTTTAAGGCCATGGTGTGAGTTCAGAAGAAATTTATGCTGAGAACCTTGTCACATCACCAGGACCAGATGGATTACACCCCAAGGTTCTCAAGGAACAGGCAGATGTGATCTCAGAACAACCAAACCATATTTTTCAAAGACCCTGGAACACTGGAGAACTACCAGGGGACTGGAAAAGGGCTGATGTGGTTCCCATCTTCAAAAAAAAAAAAGGGGGGGGGGAATGGATCCAGGAAACTACAGACTTATCAGCCTGACATCAATACCCGGGAAGATTCTGGAAAAGATAATCAAGCAACGAATCTGTGAGCACCTAGAGACAAGCAAAGTCACAAGCCGAAGCCAACATAGGTTTGTCAAGAACAGATCGTGCTAGGCCAGTGGTTCTCAACCTGTGGGTTGGGACCCCATTTGGGGTTGAACGACCATTTCACGGGGGTCACCAAACAATGCAGTCTGCCATTTCCCCCCCCCCCCCTTTTCCTTAGCTGTGGTACTCCCTTTTATTCTACTGGCTTTTGAAAGCCAATAGAATAGACTCTCTTGAATAGAGTCTAATTCTATTGGCTTTCAAAAGCCACTAGGAATTGTCCAGGCTGTCTCTGCCCTGTTGAGCCCGCCAAAAGTCCCATTCTGCAAACGGTGCTGCACCAGTTGAGTAGTCCTCGACTTACGACCGGTTGAGTAGTCCTCGACTTACAACCGGTTGGGGGTCGCAGCATTAGAAAGGTTGAGAACCACTGTGCTAGACAAATCTTACTGCATTCTTTGCAATGTGACAAAATTACTAAACCAGAGAAATGCTATGGATGGACATGTCCGGTATAAAACAAGCAACCGGATCCACTCGTGAATGGTTCATGTCAGCAACTTTATTGTGTTCTACCTATATTACAAGAATCTCCCCAGGTTGCTTGTTTTCCCTTGGGAACAAACTGATGAGTTTTCATGGAAATTAAGGGAGGGTTAGGCTTATGCCTCTTGTAGCTGTGCAAGGATTCATGCCTACCTCCCTGCTTGACTCCTCCTCCCTGCCTGGCTGGGAGCTTCCCAACATCGCATGAGCTCAGAAATGAAAGTCAGACTGAAAATATTAGAATTGGGGATTTGGGGTGGGGTAGGGAAATTAACACCCACCTGTGCCGTGAAGCCTGTATAGAAAGCAAACCAGATTTGCACCATCATGCCAGCAAATGTCTTGAAGAAGAAGTAGCGGAGAAATTTGGCGATCCGGAGGTAGGACCACTTGCCATGGACAAAGAGGAGCCTCTGAAGGTAGTGGAACTGAGCCAGTGCATAATCACTGCATTGCACTGCTTGCATGCCTTCTTGCCCACTGATTCCAACCCCTATGTCCGCAGCTGGAGAGATTGCGAGGAAGGGCTAATATTAGATCACATTTCAATTTTGACCAGCAATTATTTGTTATTTAACAGAATAACAGAGTTGGAAGGGACCTTGGAGACCTTCTAGTCCAACCCCCTGCTCAGGCAGGAAATCCTACACCATTTCAAACAAATGGTTGTTCAATCTCTTTAAAACTTCCAGTGTTGGAGCATTCACAACTTCTGGAGGCAGTTTGTTCCACTGATTAATTGTTCTAACTGTCAGGAAATTACTCCTTAGTTCTAGATTGCTTCTCCCTTTGATTAATTTCCATCCATTGCTTCCTGTTCTTCTGTCAGGTGCTTTGGAGAATAGGTTGACCCCCCTCTTCTTTGTGGCAACCCCTGAGATATTAGAAGACTGCTATCATGTCACCCCCTCGTCATTCTCTTCATTAAACTAGACATACCAAATTCCACCACCATCTGTCCCAATGAAGCAGGTAGATAACCCTGTGAGGGTGACGTTGAAGTCAACTTTGGCCAACTCTTAACCATCCTCAGCAAGAAATCTGTTTAGATTTCTTGTAAGGGATAGTTCTCCCTTTCTTGATGCTTGGAAATTTTAAAAAAAAAAGAGCTAAAGATAGTGTCAATCAAATTCAAGTTGAAGGAGTCCCAACTTCCAAACCTAACCTATAAGCCAGGGATTTCTTTAGTCTTCCATCCAAATACTAACCAAAATTATGTATGGCTTTTCAAGACTGGTCCTGAGGACTTTAAAAGAAAAGCAGGAGGTATACAAAAATAAAAAAGGATTGTTAGAAAAAGAGGGGAAAGGGGGGGACCTTCCATGATCTCACACTCTCTTGCTTTGGCTCCATTTATTATGTGACTTCTGAAAGGTAAAAGTCTTTATCATCATCATCATCATCATCATCATCATAGAAGAGAAAGAACTGGAGAAGATAACAAAATACAAAGACCTACAAATAGAAATAGAAAGACTGTGGCAAAAGCAAGCGAGGGTAGTACCAATAGTGATAGGCTCCTTGGGTGCAATCCCAAAACAACTGGAGCACCACTTGAACACCATTGGCATTGACAAATTCATTATTAGTCAATTGCAAAAGGCGGCCTAAACTAGGAACTGCTTCCATCCTGCGATGATATCTGTAATACCATCAAACATCCACATCTGCCTATCCCAGGTCCTGGGTAAGGACTTGATAGGTAGACAAAATGCCAAATCCAGTCTGAACATCTGGCTCACTGTGTGATGATCCATAATAATAATAATAATAAAGTTGGAAGGGACTTTTGAGGTCATCTAGTTCAACCCTCCTGCTCAGGCAGGAAACCCTATACCATTTCAGACAAATGGCTGTCCAGTCTCTTCTTAAAAACTTCCAGTGTTGGAGCATTCACTACTTCTGGAGGCAGCTAAGGAAAAGGGGGAAAAAATGGTGGACTGCATTGTTTGGCGACCCCCGTGAAATGGTCATTCAACCTCAAATGGGGTCCCGACCCACAGGTTGAGAACCACTGTTTTAAAGAAACTTAGTTGCGTGGAATTCATCCACCTTAGAAGCTTTTCTAAAGAAAAAATCTCTCTCAATGTACCAAAAGGTAATAGTTACAAAAAGGTTGCTAAAATATCCTAAATCTAACATGTCCTCAACCCCAAATGTCCAAACTCTCTCTAGCACACTTTCTTTTCTTTCCCACCTGTAAGACCAATCTAGCTCTTCCTCCACAGGAACGGAAGTCCCTGTGTGTATAAAAGTTAAACTTATATTTCCATGGTGACAGTTCTACTGTGCCCTGGACAAGCTCCAAGCCCTCTGCTTTACCCAGACAAATCTAATCAACTGCAAATTTAAGCCCACCTTCTCCACTGTGGCAGCATTCAAATGTTTTGGACTATAATTTTGTGAGCTATAATTAGCATAGACAACAGTCTGTGGCTAGTCCTGAGGAAAGCCAGTTTAAGATCATAACCTGGCTACTCAAGGCTATATCTCTGAGACCAAAAAGGGCAGGAGACTCACTTTTAATCATGTTGACATCATTGGCCCCATCTCCAATGGCCAAGGAGATAGCGTTCTTGTGTCTCTTCACCATTTGCACAATGAGGGCTTTCTGCTTGGGTGTGACCCTGCAGCAGATCACAGCTTGGCAGGTGGTGGCCAGTTCCACAAACGCTTTTTCAATGAGTCTCCTGTGGTCCTTGCTGGTGTCCGCAGTCCGAAAGCACAGGTACTCCAAAAGGCCTTCCTTCTTCTTTGCTTTCTTGTCCTCCTCCGTGTGAAAGATTTTCTCCTGGGGACAGATGAAGCCCAGACTTACAACCCAGGGGTCTGATTTCCTTAACAAGGATTATAGGTGTCCTACCTTACTCATTAGAGCACTCAATGAACCCTTAATTAAAAAATAGGCTTTTGCCCACCTTGATAGAAACCTCTTCTTCTGAATGTCTCCTATCAATGTGCAGGAAAGTATCCCATATTCTATAAACAAAAACTGGGTACAGGTAGTCCTCGACTTACCACAGTTCATTCAGGGACTGTTCAAAGTTACAACCGCCCTGAAAAAAATGACTTTTCAATTACCGTTTTTCACACTTAACAACCATTGCAGCATCACCATGGTCACGTGATCCGAATTAGAACACATGGCAACTGACTCATATGTATGACGGTTGCAGTGTCCCAGTGTCCTGTGACCAGCTCACTAACAGTCAATGGGGAAGCCAGACTCGCTTAACAACCGTGTGTGTTTACCTTAACAGTTGCATCGATTCACTTAACAACTGTGACAGGAAAGGTCAGCAAATGGGGCAAAAGTCACTTAACAAAGCTCTGAGTTAGCCACCTAAATTTGGGGCTCAGTTTTGGTCGTAAGTCAAGGACTACCTGTACTACAGAGGAGAGGGACCCATTAAAAAATGTTATCTTACCAGGAAATCCCCAGTGACCACCAAGGCTTTTTTGCCGTGCATTGCAGATGCTTGATAAGAAAGAAAAGAGTTGACGTCGCAAAGGGCTTCACCACTGCCAGTCAAACTGTTGCTGCTGCACCAGGCTGGTTCAAGAATCTCACTGCAAAATAAGATGGGGGAAGAAACGAGAGCAGGTCTCTTTTAACCCAGAAGCACAAGGCCTCAGACAGCTTGAAATCACAAGCGTTGACCCACTTCCCCAAGTTGCACCTGCAACATCTAAGCCTCCCATTCCACAGTTGGGAAAGCTACAGGATGAGGGCAAAGATTCGTTCTCCGAGTTTGTGGGTTGGTTTCCAAACGTGTCGTTACCAGGCTAGGTAACATCTTCAGCGGTGTTTAGGGGGTGTCGGTGTTCTGTTTACAAGGGCTTCAGGTTGAGTAAGGGTCTCGTGATGGGTCTTGTGATGGGTCAGGTATGAGTTATCAGTGAGGGGCTTGTGATGAGTCTTGTGATGGGGGAGGTTACATTAGGTCAGGGTCATTGGGTGGTGAACTGCTAGTGGGAGGGGGCCTTGCATGGGTTGGTTGAGGGTCGGTGCTGCCTCTGGTTGGCTGTGTGGTTCATTTGGATTCTGAGGGGTTCCTAGGCTGGTTGTAGGTCAGTGATGGCAAACCTATGGCACGCGTGCCAGAAGCGGCATTCAGAGCCCTCTCTGTTGGCACGCACACCACCGCTGCCAGCAGCAGGTCCATTAGGGCGCCATCGCTGCCCAGAGCAGGAGCCCTGCCCAGCACAAAGGAGGCGAAGTGGCCAACTAGAAGCTTGAGTAGAGGTGGTAGAGCAGAGGTCACCAACCATTGTCGATTGGTGGACTGAAAGAAAAGGGAGGGGAAGCATTTTACGCACTGCAAATGGGGTTGGGCTAGTGCCCGCGTAATACTCATTAGCCCTATCCCGTTCTTGCATGGTGCAGCGCCTTGTATCTGCACCTCGTGGCGTGGCGGCGGCCGTTTTTGTGCCTTGCAGCACGGTGGCCCATTTTTGCGCCCTGGTTTTTGCATGCCAGAGGCAGCACTCAGAGGCACCTCCCTGCCCCCCCCCCGAGGGCACCACAATGCTGATGCGGGCCTGGCACTTTGCGATAAATAAGTGGGTTTTGGGTTGTGGTTTGGGCGCTCGGTCTCTAAAAGATTCGCCATCATTGTTGTAGGTCAATGTGTCTGTTGAAACAGAACAACACGGACACTGACATCCCCTAAATACTGAAGAGGTTACTAGCCTGGTAACGAAACGTTCAGAAACCAAACCACAAGCTCGGAGAACGAACCTTCACCCTCATCCTACACCTGAGCTACAGATATTCGGCACTATTGCAAATCTACAGGATGTTCATGGAAAGTTTAATTTCTGAGTCCGAGATAAAGACAAAGGAAAGCTGAAGTTCAGGAACAGAGTCTGCATTTGCTCTGTACGCAGACATCCTTCCTACAAGATAGAGAGATGGACTATGAAAAGCTAGTGGGCCCCACAAAGAATTTCATAGCAAAAGAACAAATGAAATACAGGTAGTCCTTGACTTACAACAGTTCATTTGATGACCATTCAAAGTTACAATGGCACTGAAAAAAAGTGACTTATTTTTTCCACACTGACGACTGTTATAGTATCTCCATAGTCACGTGATCAAAATTCGGACTTTTGGCAAACAGATCATATTTATTTATTTATTTATTTAATTTTATTTATATGCCGCCCAATCCCAAAGGACTCAGGGCGGCGTACAAAATTAAAACAATCATCTAACAATAAAACAATAAAATAATACAATCATACCGCGAGTCCGATCATATCCCGCCCCCCCCCCCCCGGGGACATCAGCCCCAGGCCTGCCGGAACAGGAGAGTTTTAACGGCTTTCTTAAAGGCCGGCAGGGTGGGAGTAGTTCGAACTTCGGGGGGAAGTTGATTCCACCAGGTCGGAGCCACCACAGAAAAGGCCCTTCCCCGAGGGCCCGCCAGCCGACATTGTCTGGCCGACAGGACCTGAAGGAGGCCCAATCTATGGGACCTCACCGGTCTCTGGGAACTGTGCAGCAGTATGCGGTCCTGTAAGTATTTATGACTTTTGCAGTATCCCGGGGTCGTGTGATTACCTTTTGTGACCTTCTGACAAGAAAAGTCGACGAGGAAGCCAGATTTATTTAACAACTGTGTTACTAACTTAACAACTGCAGTGATTCCCTTAACAACTGTGGCACGAGAGGTCGTAAAATGGAGCAAAAATCACTTAACAAATGTTTCACTTAGCAACAAAAATTTAGTGCTCAATTGTGGTTGTAATCGAGAACTACCTGTACTGTATTAGGCAGTTGAAGTTGCCTCTCCAGATGTCAATGTTATTTGGGTGAATGTGATGATAGAACGAAAGGGAAGGTTCAAGATCAGTCCCTGATATTTTCAGATATAGTTGGTCTCAGCTTATAACCATTCAGTGACTATTTGAAGTTACAAAGCACAGAAAAAAAGTGACTTACACCTGATTCTCGCACTTACAACCATCACAGCGGTTAACAAAGCAGCATGTATTTATGATGGGATGCAGGGTTACAGGGTCATGTGTTCACCTTTGCCAACCTTCCCAGCCAGCTTCTGACATGCAAGGTCAATGAGGTAAGCTGCATTTGCTTAATGACCGCTTGGTTCACTTAACAACTAGTGATTTGCTTAACAACACTGGCAAAAAAAGTAGTAAAATTGGGCTTCACTCAGTTAACAACTGCCTTGCTTAGCAATGGAAACTCTGGCCCCAGTTATAATAATAATAATAAAGTTGGAAAAAACCTTGGAGGTCATCTAGTCCAACCCCCTGCTTAGGCAGGACACCCTATACCACTTCAGACAAATGGCAATCCAGTCTCTTCTTAAAAACTTCCAGTGTTGGAGCATTCACAGCTTCTGGAGGCAGGTGGTTCCACTGATTAATTGTCATAAGTTGAGGGTTACCTGTATTATGGGATCATGCAGTTTTGGCGGGAAAACTTCTGCATGAACTATTCAACAAACACAGTAATATGGGTGACAGGGATTAAGTACCCAATGATTTGAGCATAAGGGAGAGCTAGTTTGGTGTGATGGGCTAGAAACAGGGCTACTACAAGTTTTAGTTCTCCCCTTGACTCCAATTGGCTTCAGTGGACTTAGATCTAAACTTGATCTGGGGGTTTCAAACAACACCTGATTATTTTTCAATTTGAGTCACTTCCTTTCCCTTGCCCAACCACAGACAACCAAAGACACCTGTCGTATCTCCTTACCTGATTTCGCTCTCCTCCAGAATGGTCATGTCCTCGGAAAGGAGGTGGCAAGCAAACCCAATATTGACAGCAGTTTCTGCAAATCAATAACGAAGACCAGAAATGGGATTAAAAGCTGGAGTGTGACACATTCTCTTCTATTTTTACTTCCATCCCTGAGATAAGTTTTTTTTAAAGACTGTAGGTAGTCCTCAACTTATGACCACAATGGAGTCTATTGCTCCATTTCTATTGCTAAGGAAGACTGTTGTTAGGTGAGTTTTGGCCCACTTTACGACCTATCTTGCCACAGTTGTTAAATGAATCACTGCAGTTGTTAAGTTAATAACACAATTGTTAAATGAATCTGGCTTCCCCATTGACTTTGCTTGTCAGAAAGCTACGAAAGGGAATCACATGACTCCGGGGACACTGCAACCGTCATAAATATATGCCAGTTGCCAAGCTCCCGAATTCTGATCACGTGTCCACGGGGATGCAAGTGTGAAAAATGTTCTTAAGTCACTTTTTTCAGTGCTGTTGTAACTTTGAATGATCTCTAAATGAATGGTTGTTAGTCAAGGACTACCTGTAACTTAAAACAAATGATTTTGCAATACACATACTTGCCTAATATCAAGTCTCTCATACTATTAAACGAGATCAGGAAAGCTGCACAGAATTCCACAAAAACAGCAATAACTTCTTTGCATCGATTTAAAGCTCTTCAGAAGTACATAAAGAGTCTTGGGATCTAACAGGAGTTTCCTGACTCCGAGTTAGTGGTTGGTTCACTATCTAATCTCTTTCAAAGATCTGAAATTCTTCTTCCCAGATTTCTCTCCACCTGGGCTAAGTTGCTGTTTATGAAGTAAGCTGTTAATGGCCTCACTCCGAGTGTCTCAATTATTGAGGCCTCTCTCTCTTTTCCACTCCTTTCCCAGCCTCCACAACCTTTCATATATGAATTGTTTGCTTCTTAAACATCTTTTTTTTTTGCAGTCCAATTTATTCAGAAAAGATGAACATACAAGTAATCCTTGACTTACGACCACAACTGAACCCAAAATTTAGGTTGCTAAGCAAGACAGTTTTTAAGTGAATTTTGCCCTATATTAGATCTTTCTTTCCACAGTTGCTAAGTGAATCAGTGCAGTCGTTAAGTTAGTAACAAGGTTGTTAAGTGATTCCAGCTCCCCCGTTGAGTTTGCTCGCCAAAGGTGATCACATGATCCCGGGAACACAGCGACTGTCATAAATATGATTTAGTTGCTTAGTGTCTGAATTTTGATCCCATGACCATGGGGATGCTGCAACGGTCGTAAGTGTGAAAAATGGTTATAAGTCACTTTTTTCAGTGCTGTTCTAAGTTTGGATGGTCACTAAATGAACCGTTGTGAGTCAAGGCCTACCTGTATATCTGAAAATATGGATATCTCTATCAAAATGTGTTAAGGGCACAATGAGTAATGCCTTTCAGTTTGTTTATACCAGGGGTCTTCAAACTTGGCCCTTTTATGACTTGTGGACTTGTGGACACGTGCCTGGCTGAGGAATTCTGGAAGTTGAAGTCCACAAATCATAAAAGGGCCAAGTTTGAAGACCCCTGGTTTATACAGTTAATTTTTCAGATTCTGTGGGCATGTCTCTTGAAGCAGAATGAAATCATCTGGATGCCTGGAAATAATTTTTTCCCCAGAAAAGAATGTCATTTCTGAAGGATTCTCCAGGACTAAAAAAAATGCATGAGTTGGCTGATGTACCTTGCTTATCTCCAGTTAGCACCCACACTTTGATGTCCCCCCTTTTGAGAAGATGAATGGTCTCAGGGACTCCATCTTGTAATTTGTCCTCTATGGCTGTAGCACCCAGAAGCTGAAAGAACAAAACAAGAGTCGATTGAAAACTTCACAATCCAAACGTAACAGTACAAATTTCATAGTACAGTACAGGTAGGCTTTGCCTTATGACCCCCACTGAGCCCAACATTTCAAAATACAGCCATCGGTGTAGTGATTGTTCAAAGTTACAACATGACTGAAAAAAGCAACTGATGACCATTATTCACACTTACAACCATGGCAGCACCCCTGTGGTCATGTGATCCAAATTTGGATGCTTGGCATCTGACATGCATTTATGATAGTTGCACTGTTGATCCCCTTTTGCAAACTCCTGAGAAGCAAAGTCAATGGGGAAGCCAGATTCACTTAACAACCATATTACTGACCTAACAACTGCAGTGATTCACTTAACAGCTATGGCAAGAAAGGCTGTAAAATGGAGGAAAAACTCAGTGAACAACTGTCTTGCTTAGCATTGGAAATTTTGGGGTCAGTTGTGGACGTAAGTTGAGGACAACCTGTAAAGCTCTTTTCAGCCCAATCAATATCAGATAATGTCAACTCTCAGGAATGGAACAATATCCAAGATCTCATGTTGACTCGGCTGTCAGTCCAGACCAAAACCAACATTTACCTTGAGATTCTGCTCAATTTCCTCATATACTGTGTCCAACCCTTGGGCCCGGCCCTGTAATAAGATGCTCGCTGCATGGTGTTTCTTCTTCCACAGAGTGTACTCCTTTTTATCCAACTCTTTCATAGCCAGGCATAAAGTCCTTAAGGTTTCTGCTGCAAAGCTCTGAGGGAGAGGACAAGTGTGGGTTTCTAAGGAGGTAGCATTTGCTATGAATTTGTGTGTCCATTTATGGCATAATAATAATAATAATAATAATAATAATAATAATAATAATAATAATGATAACAACAACAACAACAGTAGTAGTAGTAGTAGTAATAATAATAATAATAATAATAATAATAATAATAATAAGTGCTGCCTATGCAAAGAAGCTGAAGAAACAGTGGACCACCTGGTAAACTGTTGCAAGAAGATTGCACAGACTGACTACAAGCAGCGGCATGACAAAGAAGCAACAATGGTGCATTGGAAGATCTGCAAAAAATATCATTTGCCTGTAAGCAAAAACTGGTGGGATCATAAAATAGAGAAAGTCATAGAAAATGATAAAATTAAACTGCTCTGGGACTTCAGAATTCAAACAGACAAGCACCTGCAACATAACACCCCTTTTTTGTCGATAAGAAAGACAAAAAAGTCTGGATAGTGGACGTGGCAGTGCCTGGAGACAGCAGAATAGACGAGAAAGAACTGGAGAAGATAAAAAAATACAAAGACCTACAAATAGAAATAGAAAGACCGTGGCAAAAGCAAGCAAGGGTAGTACCAATAGTGATAGGCTCCTTGGGTGCAATCCCAAAACAACTGGAGCACCACTTGAACACCATTGGCATTGACAAATTCACTATTAGTCAATTGCAAAAGGCTGCCTTACTAGGAACTGCTTCCATCCTGCGACGATATCTGTAATACCATCAAACATCCACATCTGCCTATCCCAGGTTCTGGGTAAGGACTCGATAGGTAGACAAAATGCCAAATCCAGTCTGAACATCTGGCTGACTGTGCGATGATCAATAATAATAATAATAATAAAGTTGGAAGGGACCTTGGAGGTCATCAAGTCCAACCCCCTGCTCAGGCAAGTAACCCTATACCATTTCGGACAAATGGCTGTCCAGTCTCTTCTTAAAAACTTCCAGTGTTGGAGCATTCACCGCTTCTGGAGGCAGGTTGTTCCACTGGTTAATCAGGAAGCTTCTCCTTAGTTCTAGGTTGCTTCTCTCTTTGGTTAGTTTCCATCCATTGCTTCTTGTCCTGCCTTGACTCCCTCTTCTTTGTGGCAGCCCCTGAGATATTGGAATACTGCTATCACGTCACCCCCTCGTCTTTCTCTTCATTAAACTAAACATATCCAATTCCAGCAACCGTTCCTTATATGTTTTAGCCTCCAGTCCCCTAATCATTTTCTCATCCAAACTCTCCTCCAGGAACTTCAGCAGTGTACATTGCAGAAGAACAAAATAACAGAGTTGGAAGGGACCTTGGAGGTCTTCTAGTCCAACCCCCTACTCAAGCAGGAAACCCTATATCATTTCAGACAAATGGTTGTCCAATCTCCTCTTAGCTCAGGATTTTCCCACAAGGTCCCTGGGCGAAGAGTGATTGGCTCAAAATTAAATAGAGATGTTAGGTGGTGTTGATTGTAATTAAAGCCATCAAGATGACAGCTGAACAGCAAGACGGAAGCCCCACCCCCTTTAACACACGCCGATACACCTAAAAATGGGGTGGAGCTTCAGCTAGATCAGTTGTCTTCAAACTTGGTCCTTTTATGACATGTGGACTTCCACTCCCGGAATTCCTCAGTCAGGCATGCTGGCTGAGGAATTCTGGGAGTTGAAGTCCACAAGTCATAAAAGGGCCAAGTTTGAAGACCCCTGAGCTAGATAACCATGACCCCCATCCTGGCTTTTCTACAATACAAAACTTACATCCAGTGCCTTGATGGTGGAACCTTTGTTGGTCTGGTCACTGTGGAGTCTTTCTAGGATCACAGAATCTGCCCCTTTGGTATAAAGCTTGATGCAGCCTTCAGGGTCTTGCACTGAGAAAAAGTGATAAGGATATTTATGCAACCCTGCATTTATCTGTTAGTTGGTTTGCTTGCTTGCTTGTTAGATTCACATTCCAGCTTCCCTCCAAGAAAGCACTTGGTTCTTAGGATAGGTTGACCCAAGTTATACATAAGCTTTCATGGTTGAAGTCAAACCTGGGTCTTTCTGCTCCTAGACCACTGATGGTAAACATTTTGGGCTCAATGTGTCAAAAATTCAAAAAATGCTTAACTTGATTCTGCTGGGATGTCACACAACCTGCCCATCTCCAACAAAAAAGCAACAATTCTCTATCTCCCCACCAGTCAGTTAGAACTGAAGAAGCTTCTGGGATGAGAAGCGAAATGTTTTCAAAGCAAAAACCAAGGAAGTCCATTTGCCTATTGGAAAAAAAGCTGGAATATCTCCCAGCTTATTTTGTCTTAAAACGATTAAGTTAAATTTAATTTTAATTTATCCCAATTCAGCAGCAGGTAAGGAGTGAATATGGAAGCACAGACAAAAAAAAAACAACAATCCTTATCTGCTGCCTTCACTTTTCCTCTGCCAATTTTGGCTCTGATTTTAAGGCAGTTTTGTTTCTCACCAGATTTACTTAGTTGCATTAATTTATACACCACCACTTCCTATGGTTCGAAGCTGCTTTCAATAAAATAGATGGGTCTGCCTAATCCTCCTTAAGAAGAAATTCTCCACTTTTTTTTTTTTTAAAAAAAATTCTTTCCAATCCTGCACATTTGCCCAAATCCCCATTAGAGAAACTACCTTGCAGCTCAACAAATATGCACAGAAATAGTATCAGAAGAGTTCATACTTACCTAAAATAGACATTCGTTTTCTTACACTGTTGAAATCTAGCAATGCCAACACCTTGTAAGTCCGTTGTATGCCCAGCTCACTTATTGTGATGCTATCTTGACTGCGGGAGAGAAAGACATATCCCAGATTTCTGGCAGCTGTTACCAGGGCTTCTTCATCTGGCGAAGCAGCTTGGTAAACAAGCTCACCTTAGAACAAAAAGATTAGACCATAATCAAAAGAGTGTCCCAGAAGTTTAATGAAAAGGACGAGGGGGGAATGTGATAGCAGTGTTCCAATATCTCAGGAGTTGCCACAAAGAAGAGGGAGTCAAGCTATTCTCCAAAGCACCTGAAGGCAGGACAAGAAGCAACGGATGGAAACTAATCAAGGAGAGAAGCAACCTAGAACTAAGGAGAAACTTCCTGACAGTTAGAAAAATTAACCAGTGGAACAACCTGCCTCTAGAAGCGGTGAATGCTCCAACACTGGACATTTTTAAGAAGAGACTGGACAGCCATTTGTACGAAATGGTATAGGGTTTCCTGCCTGAGCAGGGGGTTGGACTAGATGACCTCAAAGGTCCCTTCCAACTCTGTTATTTTGTTCTTTTGCAATGTACACTGCTGAAGTTCCTGGAAGAGAGTTTGGATGAGAAGATGATTAGGGGACTGGAGGCTAAAATATATAAGGAATGGTTGCTGGAATTGGGTATGTCTAGTTTAACCAAGAGAAGGACAATGGGGGGACATGATAGCGATCTTCCAATATCTCAGGGGCTGCCACAAAGAAGAGAAAGAATCAAGCTATTCTCCAAAGCACCTGGAGGCAGGACAAGAAGCAACGGATGGAAACTAATCAAGGAGAGAACCAACCTAGATCTAAGGAGAAATTTCCTAACAGTGAGAAAAATTAGAAAAATTACAAAAAAAAAATTACAATTAAAATAACAGAAAAATCTTGTCTTCAGAAGTTGTGGATACTCCATCACTGGAGGTTTTTAAGAAAAGATTGGACAACACTTTGTCTGGAATGGTATTAGGGTTTCCTGCTTGAGCAGGGGCTGGACTAGAAGACCTCCAAGATCCCTTCCAACTCCCTTGTTCTATTACTCTGTTATTCTGTTAAATGCAGTGCAGATTAGGAATCTGAACATTTTTTTTCCAAACATCTTAAGTTCAATTTTGGGAACTTCTGCACAGAAAAAAGTCTTTGTGTTAACATTTGTACAGATTTTAATGTAAATGATGGATTTAAAACAAAGACATTTTTGTTGGCAAACACACCAAAATCTATCATTACAAGTAGTCCTCGAATTACAACTGCAATTGGGATCAGAATTTATGTTGCTAAACAAGGGACAGTTGTTAAGTGAGTTATGCCCAGTTTTATGTTATTTTTTTTGGCATGGTTGTTAAGCAAATCTCTGCAGTTGTGAATTGAATCATGTGGTCATTAAGCAAACCTAGCTTTCCCCATCGACTTTATTTATTGGAAGAGAGCTGGGAAAGTCGCAAATGGCAATCACATGGACCCTGAGATCCTACAATGATCATAAATATATTCATGTTGCCAAGCATCCGAATTTTGATCATGGGGGTGCTGCAAAATAGTCATAAATGCAAGGACCAGTCGTAAGTCACTGTTTTCAGCACTGTGATTAACTTTGAACAGTCTGTTGTAATTGAGAATTGTCTGTACTGCATTCCAATTACATTTGCCTAATGTAAGTTTTGCAAATCTATAGGCAATCCATTCCCAATGGTTTCGGAGCAGCTTATAAACCAGATAAACTTATGAAACGCAGGTATTAAAAGCATATCACTGTTACTGACCAATGGAGCTGGCTGGAGCGCTTGAGAACTGGAGCCCAAACCACATTGAAGGTCTCTTCTGAATCTTATGTGAAATGCCAAAAACTGCTCCATGGATTAATGCAAATATTTGCGCTGGTGATATAACACCGTTAGATGCTCTCCACAGCTGTTTTTTTTTTTTTTTGCGTTGAAAATGGATGACAGTGCAAATCATTAGTGATGCTTCTAGAGCAGACACAGATGTTGAACCCAAATGTTTAAGAGAATTCCATTTTGGAATTTTTCACGCTTATGTTCGCTGCAGCATCCCCATGGCCATGTGATCCAAATTCAGTCACTTGGCAACTGACCTATCTTTATCCCAGAGTCATGTGATCACCTTTTGCAACCTTCTGACGAGCAAAGTCAATGAGGAAGCCAGATTCACTTAACAGCCCTGTTACTAATTTAACAATTGCAGTGATTCACTTAACAACCGTGGCAAGTAAGGTCATAAAACGGGGCAAAAATCACTTAACAAATATCTCACTTAGAAACAAAAATCTGGGGCTCAATTGTGGTCATAAGTCAAGGACTACCTGTATTATCCTGGCACACGTATATTTGCCTTCCTTCGTGAAATCAATCAATCAGTCATCCTACTGCTTCCTGGGGGATCTTGGGTAATCTTCTGCTTTAGATGGGTATAAGCAAGAGAGCTGATTTCACCAGCACCTATTTACTACACCTCCCCTTTCTGTGCTCACTACAATACAGCAGAAAATATGGAGAAACTATTGGCTTGCCATTGTAACAAATGAAGTGTACTTGAAATATTTTGACCTTGTAAAACATTTTAAGTCTTAGAGCAGTGGTTCTCAACCTTTTTAATGCCGTGACCCCCAACCGGTCGTAAGTCGAGGACTACTCAACCAGTCGTAAGTCGAGGACTACTCAACTGGTGCAGCACCTTTTGCAGACTGGGACTTTTGGCGGGCTCAGCAGGGCAGAGACAGCCTGGACAATTCCTACTGGCTTTTGAAAGCCAATAGAATAGACTCTCTTCAAAAGCCAATAGAATAAAAGGGAGTAGCACAGCTAAGGAAAAGGGGGAAAAAAATGGCAGACTGCATTGTTTGGCAACCCCTGTGAAATGGTCGTTCGACCCCAAATGGGGTCCCGACCCACAGGTTGAGAACCACTGTCTTAGAGGGAAAAGAGGTCTGGGCTAGCAACCTCTTTTCAAGGAAACCCACTTGAAGTTTATACTAGCATCTTTAGATATCCTAGCTTTTATTCTTCCTGACTTTCAAAAACTCGAGTGTATTTTTTTATTATTATTATTTCTGCCGTGGCTGTTCTTAGGCTATTAACGATCGCCAGGAATAGTTGTTTTTATTATTGCTCCTTTATAGTGTCTTGTAAACCATTTCACAAATGTTTAGTTGAAAGGCAATAAAAACCCTCACAGGATTAGACCGAACATAAAAAGTGTGTATGTGTTGTGGGGGGTGATCAGGAAGCCATCTATGCTTCTCTTGGAGCCTTTGATAATAGAATAAATAAATAGAAGCCACCTATGATTCTTCAGATGCTGTGATGTGTCCATAACGACTCTGATCAGAATGTGCAAGCCTTAGTATCCTCTGCAATGTTTCATGAAAGTGAAAGTTGGACTTTGAAGAAGCAGGATAGGAAGAGTATTGACGCTTTTGAACTTTGGTGTTGTGTAAGGCTCCTGAGAATTTTGTGGACAGCCAAGAAAATAAACAAATGCTCGTTGAATGAATCTCTCTCAAGACACGAATGGCCAGGTTCAAATGATCCTACTTGGAATACATTATGTGAAGGCTCAGCTGTCTGTAGAAGGCTTTAATGCTGAGATAGGTGGACCGTGAATATTACATCTACATCAGTGTTTCTCAACCTTGACAATTTTAAGGCATGTGGACTTCAACTCCCAGAATTCCACAGCCAGCAATGCTGGCTGTGGAATTCTGGGAGTTGAAGTCCACATGGCTTAAAATTGTCAAGGTTGAGAAACACTGATCTACATGGAGGGAAGCATGCAGTGGGGTACTCCAAGACTCTGTCATAGGTCCTATCCTCTTCAACATCTTCATAAACACCCAAAAAGTGTGTTTTCAAAAGGAAACTGGGCTTTATTTTTCCTTGAGGACATTTTGCTTCTCATCCAAGAAGCTTCTTCCGTTCAGAACTGAAGCAGTTTTGGGACAACCATGACCTGGGTGACTGAGAATCTCATTCATAAATGACTTAGATGAGGGGATACAACTCATCAAATTTGCAGATGACACCAAGCTGTGGAGAATAGTTAACACTTTAAGATAGGCTTAAGATTCAGAAAGATCTTGACAGAGTTGAACACTGGACCCTGTCTAACAAAATGTAATTCAGAGGTGAGAAAAATAATGTTTTAAACTTAGACAAGAAAAACCAAATGCACAGGTATAGAATAGGTGATGCCTTGCTCAACAGTAATAACTGGAGAAGGATTTAGAGGTCCTGGTGGATAATAACTTAAGTTGCAGGAATTGGGTGTGTCTATTTATTGAAAAGGAGGACTAGAGATGACATGATAGTAATATTCTAATATTTAAGGGGCTGCCACAAAGAAGAGGGTGGGGTCAAGCTATTCTCCAAAGCACCTGAAGGCAGGACAAGAAGCAATGGATGGAAAATAATCAAGGAGAGAAGCAATCTAGAATTAAGGAGAACTTTTCTGACAGTTAGAACAAATAATCAGTGGAACAACCTGCTTCCAGAAGTTGTGGATGCTCCAGCACTTGAGGTTTTAAAGAAGAGATTGGACAACCACTTTCTGAAATGGTATAGGGCCTCCTGCTTGAGCAGGGGGTTGGACTAGAAGACCTCCAAGGTCGCTTCCAACTCTGTTATTCTGTTACATATGAGTCAGCAGTATGTTGCAACCACTAAAAAAGCCAATGGAGTCCTAGGCTGCATGAACAGCGATACAGCATCAAGATCATGGAAGTGTTAATCCTTGAAGGCAAGGCAAGAACCACTGGATGGAAGATCAAAACTTGAACGAAGGAAGAATTTCCTGATTGTGAGAGTTATTAAGCTTTGGCTCCTGAAGTTGAGGGGGTTCCATCACTGGAGGTTTTCAAGAAAAGATTGGACAACCATTTATCCAAAATGGTAGGAGGACTCTGGGCTGGGAGTTGGACAAGAAGACCTTCATGATCCCTTCCAACCCTTTGATTCTAAACTTCACAATAGCATATTCTGTTACTTTGAAGTTTGATTTCTGCTGGTGCAGAGGTGTTATAATGACATGCCATAAATACTGTTTTGACACAGGTACAATAACCATATCTGTTGCCAACACTTGTTTTGTTTCTCAAAAATTGTATTTTTTTCAGCATTGATGATGGGATGTCAGATTAGCACCAGCATTGTTTGTAACTTGGGGAGGCACCCTCTTTTGTCATCCTTCAGCTGCACAGGTAATCAGATTAGAAAGAAAAAGGGAGGCTCAAGTGTCATTGAATTAATTGAAGTTCAAAAGAAGATTTTAATATCTTCATATCTAATGTCAAGCAATACCAGCAGTGGCAATGAAATGCTTCAAGCAAATCAGATGGTTCAGATGCCAACACAACAACCAAAACAGGGGATATCTTTTTCAGTGAAATGGGTTCTGCCTCTCGCCAGTATGCTCAAAAGACCTACAGCTGGCCTGTCTGAGTAATGTTAGAAAGATTAGGCATTGCATTGGTTATCAGAGGCAATTGGCATCTTGGAAAAGTGGCAAATATATGTCCGAAGTCTTTCTGGGACGTAGTTTAGATCAGGGGTCTTCAAACTTGGCACGCTGGCTGAGGAATTCTGGGAGCTGAAGTTCACAAGTCAGAAAAGGGCCAAGTTTGAAGACCCCTGGCTGAGACATTCCAGTCCTTCCAGTTTCCATCTGAACTTTCTGTTTGAGTGCAGGCTGTCTCTCTGCTGAGGTCAACTTAAACCTTTTCCTGAAGATCACAGCAGAACCTGAAGCCCACATAAACTCTATTCTTTGGGGTGCAAGAGGACTCAGTATCCAAAGACGAGAGCCAGTTTGGTCTAGTGCAGCGGTTCTCAACCTATGGGTCACAACCCCATTTGGGGTCGAACGACCATTTTACGGGGGTCGCCAAACAACGTGATCCGCATTTTTCCCCCTCAGGGGGCGCCGCCGTGCACGCGCACCACGCATGGGGGGGCCGCCGCACATGCGCACCGCGCCGGCATGCACGGCGCGTCCGTGTGATGGGGGTCGCCGTCACACAAAGGTTGAGAACTGCTGGTCTAGTGGTTAAGGCACCAGGCTAGAAAGCGAGAGACCATGAGTTCAAGTCCTGCCTTAGCCATGAAAACAAGCTGGGTGATTTTGGCTCAGTCTCTTCCTTTGAGCCCAACCCACTTCACAAGATCGTTGTTGTGGGGAAAATAAGAGGAGGAAGGTGTGTTGGATATGTTCGCCTCTTTGAGTTATTTGTAAAAACAGTAAAGGCGGGATACAAATTTTAACCCCCCCCACAAGTGCTAGAGATAAGCTTTTCTGTTACCTCCAGTCCCAGCCTGGTCTAGCTTCGTTCATGATCAATTCCTACAAAACTGAGATGACTAAAAGTAGAATCAACTATTAAGTCTACTCACTTTCTTTCTCCTCCACCATGACGGTGTGACACAGGGCAAGTAACCGCATGTATTCCCTCAGAATCGGGTCCTGGTCACGCCGGATGGTATCCAAAAGCAACTGATCACGAAATTCCAGTTTCTTGTCTATGTATTTGTTCCAGCTCAAATCCTTGGGGAAAAGACAAACAAGGATTAGCAATGAGCTTGGAAACCACCAGGATAATTTCCCCATTTATAATGGTTGGCTCTGACTGTGTAAATCAGGGGTAGTCAACCTTGGCTCTTTTATGACTCGTGGACTTCAACTCCTAGAATTCCTAAGCCAGCCACGCTGAGGGAAAAGGGAGAGGTTTCCATGCTGGCTCAGGAATTCTGGGAGTTAAAGTCCACGAGTCATAAAAGAGCCAAGGTTGCCTACCCCTGGTGTAAACCCACATCTTGGGAGTGTCTATGGAGATTTTCAATCATCCAGGTCATCATGGTTGTCCCAAAGATGCTTTTTCCAAAAGACAACTGGACTTTCTTGGTGTTTTTTTTTCCTTTGAAAACATTTCACTTCTCATCCAAGAAGCTTCTTCAGTTCAGAACTTCAGAAGAAGAACTGGAGAAGCTTCTTGGATGAGAAGTGAAACATTTTCAAAGAAAAAGCCAAGAAAGTCCAGTTGCCTCTTGGAAAAAGGACCTTTGGAACCACATCTTGGGAAGGAGGGAAAAATCATAGAGTACAGGGATGGGTGGGGCACTTTCTTTGCCTGAAGCTCACTTACTTGTCAGAGGTTCCCAGAACATAGGAACAGCACTGGACGGATTTTATCAAAAACTATATACAAAAATATTAGATCTAAACTTTCAAATTCTTTGTATAATGGGAGACTTTAATGCAATAGTAAACTATAAAATTTTGGACTATAAAAGTGCTCAGTTTTGAAAGCTTTCACTTCCTATAGCCTTTTGTTTACACCAGGGGTAGGCAACCTTGGCTCTTTTATGACTCGTGGACTTCAACTCCCAGAATTCCTGAGGCAGCATGGCTCAGCTTGGAAATCTCTCCCTTTCCCCTCAGCATGGCTGGCTCAGGAATTCTGGGAGTTGAAGTCCACAAGTCATAAAAGAGCCAAGATTGCCTACCTCTGGTTTACACCCTTATTCTGGGGCGCGGAGGGATATAAACTGAACAATAATTGTAAAGGTGAAATTTTGCCACTGAGCTTTAGGAATGTCAAATTGGGCTTTACAGGATAGGAGAGAGCACAAACAGGGCTTGGGAAATCACAGGTGACCCACAATCACAGGTTGCCTGCTTATGTTTTATTGGCCACCACTGCTGCACCCTGGTTCAATAAGCTCCATCTCATATTTAAAGCTCACTCTCAAAGCTGGGAATGGGGAACTGTCACTTTCCAGATGTTGCTGAATTACAGGTAATTCTGGACTTACGACTATAACTGAGGCCAGAATTTCTGTGGGTAAGCAAGGTGATAACTGAGACATACCCAATTTTATGATCTTTGTTTGTCATGTCATTTATTAAGCAAATTCCTGGAGTTATTCAGTGAATCGTGGTCTTTAAGCAAATCGGGCTTCCCCCATCAACTTTGCTTGTCAGAAACCATCAGGAAGGTTGCAGATAATGATCACATGACCTTGGGAGGCTGCAACCATTATAAATACATGTTGGTTGCCAAGTGCCCGAATTTTGATCACGTGACTGTGGGGATGCTGAGATGATTGTAAGTGCAAGGTCCAGTTGTAAGTTGCTGTTTTCACTGCCACTGAAACTTTGAATGCTCACTAAACAAATGGTTGTAAGTCAAGGACTACCTGTATTATTATTAATAATATTATTATTAATAATAATATTATTAATAATAATAATATTAATAAAGTTGGGAGGGACCTTGGAGGTCTTCTAGTCTAACCCCCCTGCTCAGGCAGGAAACCCTATACCATTTCAGAGAATTCCGTACTCAATATCCATGGTTCTTCATTTCATAGACTCCTGGTCAGGAACTGTAGTTCAACAATATCTCCAGGATACAGAATTTTTTTCTCCAACGCTCATAAAAGCAGACGGATCAATTTAAAATCATAAATCACTAACCTATACTGGGTTATCTAATGTCATTCTTTTAAAGGGGGATTAATGAACATTTTGAAGAAAAATGATTTCTATTATTATGTTTATCCCTGCAAATTCTTTACACAAGTCTCTACCAGATGTTAATTCAACCCCACTGATCTCAAAAGAACAGTATGAGCTTGTGCACAGAGGTTTCTCAGGTGAACTGCAACTCCCAGAATTCCCTGACTGGCTAGGGAATTCTGGGAGTTGAAGTTCACAAGTCTTAAAGTTTTCAGGGTTGTGAAACCCTGTTGTGCATCCACAATAAAGAATCTTCAGCCTGGTACATCCAATTTCCTTGTAATGCTTAAATGACTGGGAATGATGAGTTTCTGGAAGACATTTGATTGAGAAAATTCTTTTTCTTCTATAAATGCAGTGGTACAATCCTGCCACCAGCTGGTGGGAGATTCATTTGATTCCTAGTGTGCAATCCCCTTTCATATGGCCACAAGAACAGGCAGATCTACAGCAGGAACATGCGACGTACCATTGAGCTGCATTCACTCTTGTTGCTTGATCCTACAAATTGTTGAAAAGAGAATATTAAGGAAACAATGCTTGGAAGTTAAGCACATGCACAACCCTAGGATAGCTAATGTGCATGTAGTTCAAGGAACCCTGATTTCTAAGGGAGATTGTAAATTGCGCATTGCCAGTTCAAACCTGATGTTTCTACTAAATTCCTTCATAGACAAAATATTCCTCGTGGTAGAAAATGTGGAAGGAGCGAGTTTATATTTGCCTGGGAACAGCTACCTTTCCATCTCCTTTGTGTGTCATGCAAAACATGCTTCTTTAAAGCTTTTGCTTTGTTTTGGCTTTCAGGTAGTTTCTCTTAATAAATATTTTTATTTTGCAAGTTAGCAAAAATGTATTTCGCAAGTTAAACTGAATTTAAATATTCAGATTTAAACTGCTAAGTATGGGCCCCCTTGCTGTATTGGCAGTAGCTCCTTTAAGGAATCACTCCTTTTTCTGCATGCACATGATAGCTGGGTGGTTTGAGGTTTTTCAGGGAATCTACACCAACCATAATAAACCCTGTGAAAAGAATAACTGCTTTAGGGATTTGTCAACAGTTATAGCCAAATACGATACATAGGAGATCAAGCAATCAAACCAGCCACTTGATGGGTTCCATCCCACTCTGGGTTCCCCAAGCCTGTTGGCAAAATCAGGTCTTCAGAGCCTTGCAAAAGAGTATCAAAGTGGGCACCGGTCTCATTTGCAAAATTGTGCTCAATTTTATGACATTTTTTGCCACAATTGTTAAGTGAATCACCCTGATTGTTAAGTAAATCACACTTAAATTAAGCCACGAACTTTGCTTGTCATAAGCCAGCTGGTAAGGGTTCAAATAGTGATCACGTGACCCTGGGATGCTGCAACCATCAAAAATACTTATATGCTAGTTGCCAAGCACCCAAATTTTGATCACAGGATTGTGGGAATGTTCATTGGTCGTAAGTCTGAGGACCTATTATAAGTCAGTTTTTCACTGTCATGGGACCTTCGAACACTCACTAAAATGAATGATTGTAAGTCAAGGACTACTCGTTCATGTAAACAAGAATCTATCGGCAAGATACATTTTCATTTGAATTCTCCAACTAATTCAAGTGTTTGCAAATTTCAGCCTCCTAAAATGACTGGTGCATTTGCCTGTGTTCATTTCCAAGTCAACCTTACCATAGATGGCTCCATTGATACAACATTTTTTGAAAGTCATGATGTTCTGAGTCAAAGTGCCTGTTTTGTCTGAGAAGATATATTCGATCTGCCCCAACTGGTCATTCAGACTTGTGCTCCGAGCTTTGGCAGGTGTGTCTTTCTCTGCATAATACATCTCGGTGTCCCAGTTGATGAAACAGCTGTTGACCAGATAGATAAATTCAAACCTAGGGAAGAAGGACATGGATGATCAGGAAGGCTGATGAGATGCCCCACTCTTTTTTCCCTGGACAAGGAAATCTAGCCAGCAGATTTGGGTGCAAAGAGTCCTGATTCAACCCTTCAAATCTCCAGGAATGCTGGGGAAGATTCGCATTTCAAACCCTGGAGAACTAAGGCTAGTCACAATGAATCAAAGCTGAGAAACTTTAGCTATAGGGCTGTCCATATGGCTTGTCAGCCTCTTCAAGTTCACACGTCCCAGTTATTTATCTATTTCCACAATTTAATTGGGCAGTTTGGGAATGGGAGACCACAAGATGTCAAGTTTCAATCTCCCTTCTGGGATTTTCAAGGTAGTGGGACACCCATTAAGTAGAAGTGTTGGAAATAAACAATAGGCATGGCTAATGTTATTGCGTATCTTGTGTAGAGATGGGAGACAGAGAGTGAAGATTCAGATGTTCTCAGGCTGTATAATTCTCTTGTTAATCTTCTCCCACTCTTACCTGGTGTCAATTATTAATTTCAAAACACATCTGTTTACACTACTGTATAACAATAAAAGAAAATATTCCTTAATTGTGGAGGTTAAAATTTTATATTAACTATATAATTATATAGTAAATATATATTATTACTTTAAAATGGTTGTGCTGACTAAGTAAACTTCTAGTTTAAACCACAGCATATGCTTCTTCATTACAATCAGAAATAAATCGCCTCTTAGAGTGTGCAGAAATGGATAGATTGACTTTAAAGATAAAAGAGAAAGAAGCCAGTGTATTTTAGAACATGGATAATTTTTACCAATGGCTAGAAAAAACGAGTTAGAGAGAAAGGAATGTGATATGTAATTTTGAATATATACTAGCAAGAAGAAGACCATCGAGTGATTAACATATTGTTTATTATAATTAACTATTACTCATTGTTTTTAAACACATGAACCCAGACATTATGCTGTTTGCTAAATATTGAGAATGTTATTTGAAAAAACCCCAACTCCAATCCCAACCCTAATCCCAACCCCAATCCCGACCCCACTTTATTCCTAATCCTATAAAAACTATATATATGAAATTACCTTTGCAGGCAAAATTTTATGAGCTTATTATGTTCTTACCTGAGATCCCACAGAACCCAAACTTTCATGATATTTGGCCCATTGAGAGATTTGGACAATTAAGAATGTATTTATATTTGTGGGATCTTTGTAACTGCCATTTAGGACAATCTTGTTATTTTGGGGTACCATGTGACTGCCTCTTCCATAAACTGAATGTCTCCAGAAGTTGTGAGTGTTCCATCACTGGAGTTTTTTTAAAGAAGAGATTGCACGACGATTTGTCTGAAATGGTATTACGGTTTCCTGCTTAAGCAAGAGGTTGGACTAGAAGACCTCCAGAGTCCCTTCCAACTTTATTACTCTGTTGTTTTGTTAAATCATTGAATCAAAGGAATATAAAGGTAGTCCTTGACTTATACTCATTTGTTTGGCAACCATTCAAAGTTACAGTGGCACTGAAAAAGGTGACTTAGAACTGATCTTCGCACATACAATTGTCACACCATCCCCATGGTCATGTGATCAAAATTCAGGTGCTTGGCAGCCGGCAAATATTGATGATGGTTGCTGCATCCTGATGTCATATGAATGCCATTTGTAACTTTCCCAGGGGGCTTCTGACAATGTGAGAAGCAGGATTCGTTTAACAACAATGTGATTCGCTTAACAACCGCAGTGACGCACTCAATAATTATGGCAAAAAAGGTTATAAAATTGGGTAAGACTCATTTAACAACTGCCTTGCTTAGCAATGGAAATTCTCATCCCAATTGTGGTGGTAAGTCAAGGACTACCTGTATACTATTATCAGAAACATTTTCAACTACAAATCAATTCTGCAGCACAAAGTCCAGCCCCACCACTTTCCAGCTGAGGTGGACCTCAATGCCACTGCCCAGCAGAAATAGAACCTCAGCCAATAAGATACTGCAGTTTTCCACGAAAAGGATTTCCATGAAAGATCCCATTATCTGACTAAAAATCAAAGCCAATCCATTGCTCCACAGTGGACCAATCAAATTCAAGCAGGAAACAGGTGGGAACTTATGGATTTTTAGGATGGCTGAGCTGCAGTTGTTCGCAACAATTCCACCAAGAGATGCATCTCTGTATCATTCAGAGGATTAAAGGCGCTCTAGAGCAGAGTTGGGGAACATTGGCCCTTTTATGACTTGTAGACTTCAACTCCCAGGAATCCTGGGAGTTGAAGTCCACAAGTCATAAAAGGGCCATGTTCCCCACTCCTGCTCTAGAGTAAGAAAAGATAAGAGTTGAAACCTACGTGATGAGCATGGACATGGGGATGACCAGGCTGAGGAGGATAAGGAATCCCCAAAATGCAAAAAAGGCATAACTGAGTGCACCGGTATGGCTGTAGAAGGCAGAAAGGTAGCTGTGTTCCTGGAAGAACTTGGTGGCCCATAACCCTGAGCCAATGGCAAGGCCGAAGGAGGTCAGAAGAAGAGTGACTGTGATCTATGGAAACAAGGAACAATAAGGATGGAATTAGCTTAGTTTGAAGAAGGGTTGTGAAGGAAAAAATCAGGACCCAGCTTCACATCTCCAAGGAAAAGTGGGGGGAAATTCCTCCTAAATCAAAAAAGCGGATGCCAGGCCCTTCTCAATCTAATGCTCTCGATGCATTCAGTACAATGCAAAGTCCACAGAAAGTGGCTGGTGTAGAATCTGATCTACACAAGTAATCCTTAACTTAAAACCATCCCTTAATTTAAAGAAACTACTGTCACTTATAATGTTCTAAGATAGGTAGGTCTGTTAAACTTAGTTTAATCTAGATTTAATCAAGCTTGGGAATTCCTTACGCCTTGGGTAGGCAACCTTGGCTCTTTTATGACTCGTGGACTTCAACTCCCAGAATTCCTGAGCCAGCGTGGCTCAGCTTGGAAACCTCTCCCTTTCCCCTCAGCATGGCTGGCTCAGGAATTCTGGGAGTTGAAGTCCACGAGTCATAAAAGAGCCAAGGTTGCCTACCCCTGCATTTAGGGGTAATTTGAAGTTGCAATGACACTGAAAAAAGTGATTTATGACCAGTCCTCACACTTAACAATTGTTGCAGTGTCCCCACAGTCATGTGATCAAAATGTGGGCACTTGGCAACCCAGCATGTACTTAATGACAGTTGCAGCATCCCGGGGTCACGTGATCACCTCTTGCAACTTTCCCAGGGAGCTTCCCACAAGCAAACTCGATGCAGAGATCAGATTTGCTTAACAGCTGCAGCAATTCATTTAACAACCGTGGGAAAAAAGGTCGTAAGATCAGGTGCAACTCACTTAACAACTGCCTTCCTTGGCAATGGAAAAATCTAACCCCAATTGTGCTTGTGAATCAAGGACTACCATGAAGAACCTCAAGGCTTGTGAAAATAGTTTTGTAGATTCAGTTCTCAGGGAAGTGACAAGCAGATGTTGCATAACAAAACTGAATGTTTCTAACCTGTGAGAAAGTAGCATGGCATTTGCAGGAGTGGGGGGGGGGTGTGTGTCAAATAAAGCAAAATGGTGGCTTTGGCCATACAATTGGAACCCTATCCCTTCTATACAGGTATCAATGTCACACTCATGTGCAAAGCAGTGAAGCTTTGCTGCTGCCACCTTGCTATTTTTGACCCCAGCCCAGCCCGTATGTTTGCTGCTCCAAGTAGAATCATCTCCCCTTTCTTATATCCCTCTTGTTCCTCCTGGCCTTAGAAACCTTGAACAGTAGAGAGCTTTTACCAGGAGCACGAGACGATCCATCAGATGGCAGAGTTTTGTTTTTTTTAACTTGATCTTTCCACAGTTTTTCATGATTTTGGTATCGAAACCTGGAAAAGAGACATTTGAGATGGTTGGATTTTAAAGCAAAATAAGCACAGCTGCCACTGTGGGAGAAACCAGTCACCAAATGCCTGTAGGTTTGAAATGCAAACTGGGTTGGCTCAGCGTTCTGGGTCACCTCAGATTAAGGTTTGATGTTTGAGGGCAGATGGGCATAGGCGGAAACAGGCTGCCTTCAATTTCCATTATGAAATAATGCTGAGAGCTGGCATATTATTTGATCTTGAGTGCTTGGTGCTTGGTTCCTTTACTTATCTAGCTGTTTTTAATTTAAAAACTCTTAAAACAGTTTCAAACCTGGTCGCAAGCCTCGCATCTCAACCTCAGGTGTGGGCACAGCTGTTTCAAGTGAAGCAAAACAGATCCTATTTATGATTATCCTGAGCCTGAAAAAGCATGAACTGGTATGGTCAGTTTCTCTTAAGGTTTCCTGCCTGAGTTCATTTGGAAGAATGGTTAAAAGATTATGGAGAAATCTAGATTGGAGAAGAAAGGATTAGGGCAATGTTTCCCAACGTTGAGAAGTTTAAGACAGTGGTGGGATTCAAATGTGTGAACAACCGGTTCTCTGTGTGGATGCCGCTTCCGGAAGTGCATTCTGGGCCTGGGCAACAAAAAATTAGCTACCGATTCTGCCGAAGTGGTGCGAACTGGCTGAATCCCACCACTGGTTTAAGATGTATGGACTTCAACTCCCAGAATTCCCCAGCCAGCATGGCTGGCTGGGGAATTCTGGGAATTGAAGTCCATGCTTCATAAAATGCCCAAGGTTGAAAAACCCTGGATTAGAGACAATAGAACAACCTGCCTCCAGAAGCGGTGAATGCTCCAACACTGGAAGTTTTTAAGAAGACATTTGTCTGAAATGGTTTAGGGTTTCCTGCCTGAGCAGGGGGTTGGACTAGATGACCTCCAAGGTCCCTTCCAACTTTATTATTATTATTACATAAATCTGGGCAATCCATCTCCAGTTAAGATGGCAAGTGGCTTCTGTGGCACCTGATTCTCCCTTCAGATGTCTCTGACCAGATGCTGAAGAGAAGAGAATTTTGTTTCCTGTTTCTCTAGATAGCAGGAAAAGAGATATTTACAGAGAAGCAGGAAATACTTCTTAATGGATGATTGAATACTCTGCCTTGGGAGGGAGGGAGATGATAGATAGATAGATAGATAGATAGATAGATAGATAGATAGATAGATAGGTAGGTAGGTAGGTAGGTAGGTAGGTAGGTAGGTAGGTAGGTAGGTAGGTAGGTAGGTAGATAGATAGATAGATAGATAGATAGATAGATAGATAGATAGATAGATAGATAGATAGATAATAGATAATAGATAGAGATAGATAGATAGATAGATAGATAGATAGATAATAGATAGATAGATAGATAGATAGAGATAGATAGATAGATAGATAATAGATAGATAGATAATAGATAGATAGATAGATAGATACATAGATAGATAGATAAATAGATAGATAGATAAATAGATAGATAGATAGACAGACAGACAGACAGACAGACGGATGGTTGCCATGCACAGCAGGGTTGGCCTAGATGACCTCAGAGGTCCTTTCCAACCCTGATTCCATGGAAGGCAAGTTTGATCTTTCTCACTCACCTGCATAAATAACAAGGCCGTAGCAAACCTCTGTGTTACGTATTCTGCAGCCACGCAACAGGATTTTCTCATAGTCAAGAGGGTATTTCTCTCCCTGCCATTCTAAGATGCCGACAAAGTTGTGCAACCGGCTGTTTGGCTCTTCGCAGACCACCTCACCTGGACAATTGAAAGAAGAGATGGGAACCTGGTTCACCTATTTCTCCTCTCCTCCCCCCCCAAAATATCCTTTTTTCCCTGCAACCTCACATCTCTTTTAGCATTTATCTTAAAATGGTGCTTTTATTCCAACCGGAGTTATATATCAATATATATATTTATATACTTATATACTTATTTATGTACTTATTTATGTAATTTTTATTTTTATTATTTTTATTTTTATTTATCAAGCACATTTCCTTCCATGAAATGTATCTCTAAAGATATGTAGGGTCAAGAATACGCATATAGTTAGAGAAAATGACTAAAAAACATATAGATTTTAAGCCAGAATTATTTTTGCTAGGCATAATCGTAGGAAATTATGAGAAAGAGTGTATATATCTAATTTTACATGATCACACATTGCTCCTAGAAGCACGAAGCCAAAAACACCAGCCTGAAGATGACGAATGGGACTTCGTCGAAACGTCGCCAAGACACTTCCAATTTTATGCGGGAGAAAACCCGAATAACCAAAGACCTACATACAAACACCCGTGAAAACATCAGAAAACAAATATATATATAGATATTTATATATATAATATAAATATATATATAAAAATATAAATATATTAATATAAATATATTAAGATATGTATAAAATCAAAACTTAAATAGCAAAGGAAAGAGGATTCAATTACAGCATTCTTCAAATCATGTAAAACCCCAGTAGAACCAGGCTAATAATAAATGAAATTACCAATCCTGTGGAACCATTTCTGAAAACGAAAAGAAAGGATTGTGAGAAACACTCACCGTCAAAGGCAGCCATGTTCTCCATGCAGGTCAGCTGCTGATGTGTTATCAGGAGAGCTTGTCTGTATTTCAGATTGGTCTCTCTGAAAAAAGCAAAGTGGAATCAGCTTCAAAACTGGAAAATGAGTGACGCTTTTTTATTGTACTTTGGTACAGGTAGTCCTCGACTTAAGCAGTTTGTTTAGTGATGGTTCGAAGTTACCACAGCACTGAAAATAGTGCCATATGACCATTTTTCACACTTATGAACGTTGCAGCATTCCCATGGTCATGTGATTTACATTCAGATGCTTGGCAACTGACTCACATTTATGACGGTTGCAGTGTCCCAGCGTCATGTGACCCCCTTTCGCGACCTTCTGACAAGCAAAGTCAATGGGGAAGCCAGATTCACTTAACAACTGTGTTACTAGTTGAACAACTGCAGTGATCCGCTTAACAAATGTGGCAAGAAAAGTTGTAAAATGGGGCAAAACTCAGTTAACAAATTTCTCACTTAGCAACATAAATGTTGGGCTCCGTCATGGTCGTAAGTTGAGGACTACCTTTATTGTATTGTATTGTTTCAATTTAAATTGAATGGAGAACATTTCTTAAAGGAAAGCTGGGACGGGAATAGGAGCTACTTTCTTTGGATTCCTATAAGTAGTCCTTGACTTACAACCATTTATTTAGTGCTCAGAGTTATCATGGCACTGAAAAAAGGAACTTACAACCAGTGGTGGGATTCAAATATGCGAACAACCAGTTTTCTGTGTTGATGCCGCTTGTGGAAGACCGCTCTTGGCCTGGGCAACAAAAAATTAGCTACCGGTTCTGCCGAACTGATGCAAACCGGCTGAATCCCACCACTGCTTACAACCAGTCATCACACTTTTGACAGTTGCAGCATCCCCACAATCACATGATGAAAAGATGGCCACTTGGCAACCAGCATGGATTTGTGATACATGGGATTGGGTCATGGGATGGCCATTTTTGGCCCTCCCAGCCAGTGTCTGAGAAGGAAAGTCAATGGGAGGAGCTGGAATCACTTAAAGATTGAGTGATTCACTTAACAACTGCACTAATTCACTTAACAACCATGATGAAACAGGTCATAAAATTAGACATGACTCACTCAACAGCCACCTTGCATAGCAGTGGAAATGTTGGCCTCAACTGTGCTTTAAGTCAAGGACTACCTGTATTCATGTTTCACAAATAAACCAATGCCATTTCATCAAAATTAATTTATTTAAATTAATAAATTGAACGTGTTGCTCTACTGGGACTTAACCGGAGCATGACTCCTGCCAAAATTATTTCCTACATTGTCTTCATTTATCCCTATGCCAGGAATGAAATAAGACTAAGCTAGGCTAGGCTAGGCTAGGCTAGGCTAGGCTAGGCTAGACTAGACTAGACTAGACTAGACTAGAATAGAATAGAATAGAATAGAATAGAATAGAATAGAATAGAATAGAATAGAATAGAATAGAATAGAAATTGGAATGAAAGAACAGAACAGAACTGAACAGAATAGAATAGAATAGAAATTGGAATGAAAGAGTAGAATAGAATAGAATAGAATAGAATAGAATAGAATAGAATAGAATAGAATAGAATAGAATAGAATAGAATAGGAAGGGACCTTGGAGGTCTGCTAGTCCAGCCCCCCATTTAAGCAGGAGAATCTACACCATCTCAGACAGGTGATTGTCCAGTCTCTTCTTAAAGATCTCCAGTGATGGGGTGCCCACAATTTCTGGGGGTAGGCTGTTCCACTAGTTGATATACAGCCCTGATATCAAAATATTTTTTTTTTGCCCTTATTCTACCACTATTCAAGAGCACCTTTGACATGTGAAAAACCTATATCAGTGTTTCCTATATCAGGAACTTTAAGATGTATGGACTTCAATTCCCAGAATTCCCCAGCCAGTATTTGAGGAAAGTTCATGTTCTATGTATAATGACAGAGCAAATAATAACAATAACAATAATAATAACAAGCAAAGACATTACCCATCGATGTCCATAGTCTCCACGTAGCAGAGGCTATTTGGTTCTGAACTGGAGAGTAAGAGGAGGTCAGCCTGGGGAAAAAAGCAGAGAGCTTTATTGATAGATCCAGATATAGCCAGCAACTACCAATCCATCTTTTGAAAATGTTGGTGTTTGTCACACAATCACATTTATACAGTATTATCCAGTACTTTGTTTCAAAGCTTAGTAAATATAAGACTTTGTAAAAACATGTTTTATAGAAGCATCGTCTTTATTACATCTCCAGCAAAATGCTGTCCTTGACCATCCTTTTTCTATATGGGCATGATGGAGTCTAATAAAGCTTTAAAAAAGTTCTCTTAAATTACATACCTAGTACAGGTAGTCTCGACTTACAACATTGCTTAGTGACTGTTTAAAGTTATGACGGATTCCCCCAGAAGTACTTATGACACAGTTACAAAGTTTTGATGCAACCCACTCCCCGCTCCCTTATGGATGTAAGTCGAGAGCTACCTATTCATGGAATATGACAACTGGACAATGTAAATGGATTCACCACGCCCTTAACCACATGATTCACTTAACGACTGCAATGATTCACTTAATGACTCTACTAAAACTTGTAATAAAATCAGGTCTCACTTAACTAAATTCCAGTTTCAGTTGTGATCGTAAGTCGAGGATTACCATCAGTTCAATTGTCCACAATTCTCCAAAGACAGAGATTTTAATTTTGTAATTTTGCATAATGCAGTTTTAAGAAGCCATTTCCCCCAATGCAGGGGTGGGCAACCTTGGCTCTTTTATGACTCGTGGACTTCAACTCCCAGAATTCCTGAGCCAGCATGGCTCAGCTTGGAAACCTCCCTTTCCCCTCAGCATGGCTGGCTCAGGAATTCTGGGAGTTGAAGTCCACGAGTCATAAAAGAGCCAAGGCTGCCTACCCCTGGCCTAATGCTTGTGATATGTTGGTGTGAGTTACCTTGAGATCAGATGGGCAGCCTATACTTTTTATAAATAAATAAATGGCTTCCATACAATTTTTCGCTCATATACTTTTTTAAAACAAGGGTGAACTGCAGGACAAGGGTGAAATTCAGAAAAGTGAGAATATTAAATGATTCCAAAATTATAGTTCATGAATTTGTAGAAAATAAAAAATTTGGTAAATTGAGATTGAAATACGAGAGCCACTTTGGTGTGATGGTTAAGATGCTGGCCTAGAAACTGGAAAACTGTGACTTCTAGTCCCATTTTAGGCATGAAAACTGACCGGGTGACCCTGGGCCAATTACCAGGAGACAGGAAGTTCTAGTCCTACTTGAGGCATAAAAGCCAGCTACATGGCTTTGAGCCAATTCCTCTCTCTCAGCCCAACCCACCTCATACTGTTGTTGGGGGGATAATAGGAGGAGGAAGGAATATTAATGTCATGGTTCCGACAGATGAAACTCTTCAAAAGAACTTTGAGGCATTGTTTACCTTAAAGAATCTTTTATTCGAGTAGCATAATATTGGCATTACATAATCAAAGCCAAAAACTTAATTCCCCTCACCTGGGCACATAGTATCAAAGCACAATTCCCTCCTCCAATTAACAGTCATAAATCACATTCCTCAATTATGACCAACCATCCTCCTTTAGGGAGGACAGTCCTCCTTTTCTAAGTTCTGTCCTCCCTCAAAAAGTGTCCTCCTACATGTCCTCCTTTTCGATATTTGAAGACTAATCTGCAGGGCATTTTTTTTCCCTCATAGAACGCTCAGAACGACGTTCCGGCACCTTTTTTTGATGTTTTTTTTTCAACTTTTGCATGAGCTGTGCTACTCCCACTATTGGCTTTCGAAAGCCAATAGGAATTGCTGCTGAGTGCGCCAAAACACCCGGCTGGCAAACTTTGCACATGCAAGTTGTCTGTATTATTGTTGCAATGAATAAAATGTTTCTTTTATTTACGATATTTTTTCTTCAATTTATTTGTGTCCTCCTTTTCATTGTAAAAAGGTTGGTCACCTTATCAATTAGCTTGAAGCATGGGCTTCCTCTCCAGTCCCCCAATTCTTTATCAGCTCTGGGCTCAATAACCTTGATTATCATGCTGAGTTTAGTGTTGTTATGTCTAGCCAGACTCTCATTCACATCCCCCCCCCCCAGCATCATCTAACTCTAAAAGCGAAAGGGGAAAAAATGGCTACATTTCCACCTGTTGTCAATACAAAACATCCAATGTTAGCAGCGTTGACAATTACAATATGTAATTCACTGTGAATTACTAATAAAATAATAGGCAAACAAAACTCAAATAAATAAAATAAATATTGTTTTCCATTGCCTTCTTTGGGGAAGTTTTTTTTTTTTCAAAGTAGATTATAGCTATCTAGAATGCAGCCCTGGGTGGAGTTCATGATTCCAGGTCTAGTTATACACGAAACAGCATCACTGTGCAAATGAAGGGGAAGCATGTTAAAACCTGCCCTTTTCCACCAACAATTTCACATAAGCCTCTGCATGACAAAAAGACATTCACTTCCAACCCTTAGATCCAATCTAAAGAGGGAGATCTGCAAACACAAAAGTTTTCAAAACTCTGGCCTTCTGTTCTGAACTGAAAGGGAGCTGTCAAAATTAGAAGAGGCAGAAGCTTCTTTTAGGATCGCAATATTTTGACTGCGCTTGAAATAATCTGGCCAAAAACATTTCATTTGTTCAGTATGTAAAGGAAATTTGGCACCTGCTTCTAATCCTCATCTTTCATTTCAACCTAGATAACTTGCTGGAAAAGGAAAAAAAAAAAAAAGTCCTGATAGAAGCTGAACCATGATTATGTCTCTTGAGAATTTAAATTTTATTCAGTGGCAGCCTTGATTAAGACAAGAAAAGACAAATTCTTACCGGTACAATGCTATCCTTGTGAAGGCAAACAATATCACCCACTTGAATATCAGACCATTTCTTTTTGCAGAAACTAGGAATATGGGAAAAACAATAGTTAAGAAAAGTTTGGTCTAGTGGTAAAATCACCAGTTCAAGTCCTCCCTTAGCCATGAAAATCAGCTGGGTGACTTTGGGCCAATCTCAACCCCAGCCCACCCCACAGGGTTGTTGTGGGGAAAATAGGAGGAGGAAGCTATGTTGGATATGTTCGCCACTTTGAGTTATTTGTGAAAAGGTGGGATACAAGTTAATAAATAAATAAAAATAAAATAAATAAATCCACTTTGTGGGACCAATGGAAAGGCTGGAGCACTTGTGTCAATAAACTAAAAAGCTCAGGAAAGAAAGAAGGTGAATTTGTAGTGAATTCCATCACTCTCAAGAACGACTGGAGAAATGGCAAAATTGATTGCTTTGATTAAAGAAAAGTCTTTATCCAGCTTCATTTCTACCTGGAAGCCTGGATTTTTTGACTGAACCTGAAAAAAAATGAGACATGGGTCTTGATGATTAAATATGTTTATGATGATAGACATACTCTTTGTTATGGTTTATTGTAGTTCAAAGGGTCCTTGATTTACAGGTTTTTATCTGTATCAAAGAAAGTCAGAAGATCCTTTTTTATAGCTTTTTGTTGTTGCTTGCACACTGCAATTTTTTTTGTTATTCCTTTCCCCCTTTTTGACTTTTTTTCCTTTGTATTTTATATATTTTTTAATTTAATAAAGTTTTAAAACTGGGAAAAGTTTGAAAAGTGTTGTTGGAGAATGTTTCCCCCCCCCAGAAGAAATTTATTCCAAGTTGCCCTCATGTGAGCTTTCCTTAGTTTAGTTGCAAATAAATGAAGTGACAGATGTTCTTTGCACACGCCTCTAGACACTGTAGGTCAACATTCGACACCAAGTTCATTTTTTGCAAGCAAGCATTTTGAGCATGAATTGTGATATTGTGGGAGATAAATGCTCACAGATTTCCATTCTCCCTGTTTCTTGTGGTTTCCTTGGGCATTTGCTGCCTGATGATTCAGCGCCATTGGAAAAAATAATAATAATCAAATCAGTCAAGCCATCTACCCTATGAGCCCTGCTGGTGCAGTGATTAGAATGCAGTATTGCAGGCTAACTCTGCCCACTGCCAGGAGTTCGATTCTGACCGGCTCTAGTTTGACTCAGCTTTCCATTCTTCCGAGGTCAATAAAATGAAGACCCAGATTGTTGGGGGCAATATGTTGACTTTGTAAATCACTTAGAAATGGTTGTAAAACACTGTGAAATGGTAGATAAGTCTAAGTGCTATTGTTAATGCTATCTTCTTTGGGTGATTCCAGCCAATTGCCAGTCGAGTAGAAGATGACATCCCAAATTTATCATGGCTACCTGTTCTAATATGGATCTTTTGGCAATGCCATAAAGGTCTCCATATTTGTCCAAGAGTTGATATTCCATTCTAGGGAGCCCATTACTATTAATAACTTTCAGGAAGAATATATGTATTTAGAAAGCGTGAGTTATCCCCCTGTTCTCCAACTTTATTCTCTTACTTAAAAACATAGTACTTTTCAAAAGAAGTAAACAAGTTTCTGAAAACATCTTCCAGGCTGGCTTACCTTCCACCTGTCAAGATCTCACAAGGTCGGTTGTTGATTTCCCCATCACTTCGGTGTCGTGCCTGAGAAACAAAAAGGAATGAATGAAAAGCATTGATACACTGAGCTTCTGTTCATCTAATCCAGGATTTCTCAAACTCATCCAAGAATCCATGCCAAGTTTGAGAAATGCTGCTTTAATCCAATATTAAAAATTGCCAGCCCTCTGACCAGAAATTCTTATCTCACATTCCATCAAATCTGGAATGTGAAATATTAAATGTGGAATGTGAAATACTTCCATCAAATCATGAAAAATTTATACAAACCATGCATACAGGAAATGGGCTTTTGCAATGCTAGGTAAGTCCCTGGTCTTCTTTTGCCTTTTCTGGATGAAAATAATTCTGTGCTGTAAGATGTGGTTCATTTGGCTTTGGTCAACCCAAGAATCCCAGGGCATAAAGAATAGAGTTAACTGCTATATTTTAATACTGGAGTTCTCCAGCTGAGCAAGGATAAAATAATTGTAAAGCATCCTGCTTGCTTTGCTTTGCTCTTTTCTTGCCCTGGGCTTCTTTAAACACAGGTGACACCTAACTATATGGTGCAACACCAAAAATGCAGGTAGACTCTTCTGAAGGTAGGCCGTCCTTATTGCATACAGTCAAAAACTGTAAGGCTATGGCAGGGGTAAGCAACCTTGGCTCTTTTATGACTCATGGACTTCAACTCCCAGAATTCCATGTTGGCTCAGGAATTCTGGGAGTTGAAGTCCATGAGTCATAAAAGAGCCAAGGTTGCCTACCCCTGGGCTATGAGAAGGAGCCCTTAAAACCTTCAGTCTGAATCCTGGTGACTTAGGGGCTTAAAACAAATTTCTCCTGTTCTAGTTATGCTCAAATAAGAAGTAAAGAGAAATGAACCAGAATCCTTGCCTTCACCCAGGCAGTTTATTACAGTAGTTTCCTCTATAGTTCCACTTCAAAATAACACACAGCAGGCCTTAAGGCAGGGGTGTCAAACTGCCGCCCCGCGGGCCGGTTTCATCATACCAGAGCCACACCCACCCCACTGCCGGCAATGGAGAAAAAGCTCCGATATGTTGCGCGACATCACGTGACGTCACGAGTTTGACATGTCTGCCTTAGGGGTTTGTCATTGATTAAAAACACCAACAACCTTAATTTCCCTGGATGATATAGAGCCAATGAGGGATCTTAGAATAAAGAATGACCTGTTTGCTACTTCAGTGTTTTTCAATCTTGGCAACTTTAAGACGTGTGGACCTTAACTCCCAGAATTTGGCAGCCCACGCATTGTCCCAAAGGTGCTTTTTCAAAAGGCAACTGGACTTTGTGTTTCCTTGACGATGTTTCGCTTCTCATCTTATCATTCTGAGTGCTAACGACCAGATGACTGCAAGGAATATAAATCCTTCCATCCTCACCAGTCAGAACTGAAGAAGCTTCTTGATGAGAAGCAAAATGTCTTCAAGGAAAAACAAAGTCCAGTTGCCTTTGGGAAAACCATGACCTGAGTGACTGAGAATCTCCATAGACATTCAGCCCCTGTGTTGAAGCTGGAGTTGAAGATGAAGTCCATAGATCTTAAAGTTGTCAAACTGGAAGAACACCGGTCTAGACTGCTGAGTTGTCTTCCCCCATCCCCCAAGTGACTCTGATAAACTCATCTGCTACAGAGTCATCCTCTTATCCTCCTCTAGGAGATTACAGCCAGTCATCCAGTTAGACTGATGCCTTTGCAGGTGCTGAAAACAAATACTTACAACATCATCAATTAAATCACGGATGCCTCTGATGGAGAGCAGGATAGCGAGGGGAAAGAGAAGTGAAAACCAAGGCAGTGTGGAGATCTGTGGGAAGGTCTGTAATAGAAGGCAAAGCAGAAACTTTTCTTATTACAAAGGAGGCTTAAAGAGAGAACTTTGCATTAGTATCTTCAGTGGGAACAAGGCATCCCTGCCCCTTTGGGGAAAGCAGAACCAAAACAGGGCATATGCACAACAGCTCATTTAGCAACCGTTCAGAGTTACAACAGCATTGAAAAAAGTAACTTGTGACCATTTTTCACACTTATGACTGTTGCCGCGTCTCCATGGTCATGTGATCAACATTCAGATGCTTGACAACTGGTTCACATTTATGACAGTTGCAGTGTATCGGGGTCATGTGATCCTCTTTTGCAACCTTCTGAGAAGCAAAGTCAATGGGAAAACCAGATTCACTTAACTATCTTGTTACTAACTTAACAATTTCAGTGATTCGCTTAAGAGCTGTGGCAGGAAAGATCATAAAATGGGGCAAAATTCATTTAACAAACGTTTTGCTTAGCAACAGAAATTTTGCGCTCAACTGAGGTCGTAAATCGAGGACTACCTGTTATCTTGTTGTACAAGCAGGGCCAGACAATTAGGCAAAGCAGAGGCCTTGAAGTTCCCAAGCACAGTAGACTCTTAGCCCAAAGTAGATCTGAAGGTAGATCTGATAAGATTAATTAGAATCCTACCCACATTGATGTAGAAGTTTGTTCTACTTAGATCTATATATTATGGTACCCAAGCAGGGTAGGGAGGCGGGCAAGGAACAGGAAACAAGGAAGTTTGAAAAAGTTACCACTACAAGGATCCTTTGTCTTCAAAATTAAATATACAAACTCTTTATGCCAGCTTCTATTTTGTTTGCTCTGTAATTTACAAGCCGTAATACATTATAAGAATCTTTATTTCCAAGAAACAAAGTTGAGTCACCCTTGAAAAATACCTTGGCAACTCATGAGACATGACAAAACAATAAATGCAATTTTCCTTGTATCCTGATAGAATAGGATTAATTAAAGGTGAGGAAAAAATAGAAGCCAATTTTAGTAACAGAATAACAGAGTTGGAACGGGTCTTGGAGGTCTTCTAGTCCAACCCCCTGCTCAAGCAATGGACCCTATACCATTTCAGACAAATGCTTGTCCAATCTCTTCTTAAAAACCTCCAATGATGGAATATTGTTAGACAGTGTCAAGCTTCAGAGTTTAGTGACCATGGTCTAGACAACAATCCTAATTACTAAACTCTGAAGCTCAATCCTGCCCAATAAATATAAGCCATGAAAGCCTACACAAGAATATTGTTCATCTTCTTCAAACCCCCATTAACCTCAAATTTCAGTCTGGTGAGCATCAATGCCATCAAGCCACACGGAAGCCTTACTTCCAGCTTCCAGATCTTCAAGTTCATACTCCTCAGTTTTGGTGGCAAAATGGCCAAATTTGAATGGTGTAATGTCTCATGGGTTTTTTTATCTCCTACCAGGAGTGCTGTGGAAAATGTACCCAAAAAGTCAGGATGGCAAGTTTGCCCATGAGATTGAAGCTTTTGTAATGTTATGTGGAAATGTATCATGGTTCTGACAGATGAAACTCTTCAAATAACTTTGAGATACTTTTTACCTTAAAGGATCTTTATTTGAGTAGCATAATATTGGTACTTAGATAATCAAAGCCAAAAACTGAATTCCCCTCCCCTGGAAACAAAGTATCAAAGCAAATTCCCTCCTCCAATTTACAGTCATAAATCACATTACCCAATTAGCTTGAAGTGTGGGCTTCCTCTCCAGCCTCCAATTCTTTATCAGCTCTGATTTCAATAACCTTGATTCTCACACTAAGCTCAGTGTTTGTATGTCTAGCTGGATTCTCGTTCACATCCTCCCTCCCCAGCATCATCTAACTCTAAAAGGGAAAGGTAAAAAATGGCTACATTTCCATCTGTTGTCAATGCAAAAACATCCGGTGTTAGAAGACATCCAACCTTGGAAGACAGAGCAAAGAGGTACCACCAAGGGAATGTCAAGTAAAAGGCAACTTAGCCCTCAGCACAAATCTGGGTGGGGCAAGAAGCTCAGAAGAGACTCTCCCTAGTTTCGGGGTTGTAGAAGAGACAGGGGAAAAAATGTACCTGTAGACTTGTAAAATACACTTTTATACCTTTACTTAATTCTAATTAGACTTAGCTCATCTAGTTGTGTTTTCTGACTGGCCTACCTCATAAAGTTGACAGGTCTACCTCTTGTTCACATGCGTGATGCATGCTAACACAGGACAGGTCTTCAATCGTGTGATTGCAGCATCCATCTTGATTCTTTTGCCCCACCCCAAAGGATGCCATGTCAAAAAAAAAAAAAATAGGCAGGGAATAGAATCTCTTTAGAGAGCTGACAGGCTTTGGTACCTCAGAACAAATTATGTACATTTCTCTATAAAAAAGTAGAAAGGTCCTAATTTTGTTGCTAATCGAAAATGGAATAAAGACCCCTCTTACCTGCAAAAGTATTATTAACAAGAAATATACATTAGCCAACCGGTGAAATTGTTCATACAAGTTGAGAGGGAGAAAAGTGAAAACGTTGTATTTAGCCGTCTTAATGGCATTGTCCTGCAAATGATAAATCAGCAAAGATTCACATGAAACTTAATTTATTATCACATATAAATTTTCATAAATCAAAATCTACTTTGTGAAATCTGAAAAATGGAATATAATACATGTAGGCAGGTATTCTCGACCAAAACCAAGATATGTGATATTGTTGCTGTTTTTCCAGCAATAAACAGCAAAACAGTTTAAAAATGTGAAAAGGAAAGGAAAGGAAAGGAAAGGAAAGGAAAGGAAAAAAAACTAGCTAGTTTCTGGGAGGCTCACTAAACTTAAAACACAAACACAGAGACACACAAATACAGATGCAGAATATAAAGAGGATTTTAAATCCATGACATTTTGATTCTTCCCTCCCTCCTTCCTTTCCATGGCCTCCAATAAGACTTACTGCATATTTTCTCTTCTTCAAACACCATAAATGCTTCTTTTGAATTTGTGCGTGATAAGCCCGGTTATTAGCCTTAACCACCCAGGTAAAATCTGGAAGAAAAGGACAGAAAATACTGGCGACTGGTGGTACTCGGATGTTGCCATATCCTAAAGTGGTACAATGGGTGAAAAGGTTGAAAAGCCCTGGTATAAAGCTCCTACTTTGAGTAGGGGGTTGGACTAGAAGACCTCCAAGGTCCCTTCCCATCCCTATGATTCTATAATTCCATAGCTCTGGTCCACAGATGGGAGCTTATGTGAGGAACAGATCCACACACACCTTTCAGAGAGATAGCAACTCTCTGGGACAGTGTTTCCCAAACTTGACAATTTTAAGGCATGTGGACTTCAACTCCCAGAATTCCACAGCCAGCAATGCTGGCTATGGAATTCTGGGAGTTGAAGTCCACATGCCTTAAAATTGTCAAGGTTGAGAAACACTGCTCTAGGATCTTAGATGGGTGAGTGAGTCACATAAAATGAGACAGAACACAAAGGATTCCTTGTTATTGTTCACAGTACAAAAATGTTTGCCAATAAAGTCTGCCACCTCAAGTCCAGGGAGGAAATACCAAGGTTGCTAAAACCATATCTCAAAACACAATCAAGATTTTCAAGTTTCTGAGGTGTTTTCCCTCCACTTTGGATTAAATCAGCTGGAGATTAAACTAAAGCTGGGGACAAGCTTTAGCCTGGAAAATACAATTGCTTCAGTTATACACATTTCACGGTTCAAAAATCTTTATTTCCCCCCTCCCCCCCCAATATTCCCACCTGTGATTGGCCAAAGGTGATTCTACAAAACCCCACATGTACTTACCTGTTTTAGTCTCATCCTGGTAACCCCCGAGAGAATCCTGGCTTGGCATTTTGAAATCTAGAAAGCAAAAAGATCAAGTCATTTAACCTTCCTGCAATTTGCTAGCTTAGCCCTTGCTGGCTATGATCCCAAGAGAGTTTGGAAATGCTCCCAGGAGGATCTGTAGCATTTATGATTATGGTTCTAACTGATAGATGCACCTGTCCAGGATAATCTGCTCACTTCTTGTATATTCCATTGCAGCTGCAGTGCTTGTTTAGCCATTTTGTAATTTGCACTTATTTTCCAGGGACGGTGTAGCACTTACATCTTTCCCAACCTTGGTGCCTCCTAGATGTGTGGACTTCAACCCCCAGAATTCTCATCAAGGCCCAGGTTGCTGGGGAATTCTGGGGGTTGGAGTCCACAGATCAGAAATATGCCAGACCTGGAAAGGTTGAGCTGGAATGAATGAAGATAAAGTGAAGAGAGGAGGAAAGTGCATTGAATGAGGGGAGAGCTGGGTTCAGAGCCCCATTTACTCTTGACTCTCTCTGTGTGTGGTGGACACAGTCCTTATCGTTCAGCCTGATTGCTCTGGCTGAGAAAGCAGGGGAATCACATGCTTTGATTTCCTGGAGGTTGTTTATTTGTTTTTCCACAGGGATTGTCAAATGGCTTAGAGCAGTGGTGGCGAACCTATGCCACGGATGCCAGAGGGGGCAATCAGAGCCCTCTCTGTGGGCACGTGCACTGTCGCTCCAGTCCTAGGCCTTCAGCTGGGTTTTATAAAACCTTTTTGCTTGAGGCCTCCGCCGCAATGTACAAAAAAAAAGGTTCAATCAATCAGTCAATTTCAACTTCTCGCGGGAAAAAAAAAGATCTTGCAAAGTTGGAATTGATTGATTGAACTTTTTAGTCCCATCCAGTCTGCCCTTACCACCGCAGCCACGCCCACCCAATGGGCCACACCCACTCAATAGGCCACACCCAGCCAATGGGCCATACCCACCCGGCATCCGACAATGCATAAGTGGGCTTTGGGTTGCAGTTTGGGCACTCGGTCTCTAAAAGGTTCGCCCTCACTGGCTTAGAGGAATGAAGACTGGGTAAAGGCTTCTTAAGTAACACCAGATTTCAGGGTAAGAGGCAGTGGGGAACCAAGGATCAGTGGACAAGAAAACAGTTCACTTCCAAACTTTCTAGAGTTGCAAAAGTGTTGCAGCCTGGCCAGAGGAAAATCAGAGGGGTTTACCTGAGGATGTGTGATCATGAGGACAAACTATCAATGCAAGAGACTCTTTGGAAATACCCCCAGTCCTTCCCACATCAAAGGGTAGATTAGGAGTATAAAATGCACCAGCCTTCCTTCCCATGGGCTTAAACAGGCTCACCCTTCTTCTTATCTCTTTTCCACATCAGGAAACTTAGAAAAAGAAACCAGCACGCCAGTTCACCACAAGCATAGGAACGGCGTCAATGGCTAGTTTAATCCTGACTGCGCAATTGTCCTCGTTGGATGGAATAAGCTGCTGGCAGCATCACAAGCCTGCAAGGAGCTGGCCACCTGCCTGGGAAATTTGTATACAAAATAACCAGGCCTGCCTGGTTTGCTAGGATGCATTCAGACAACCCATAAGCTTCAAAGATGTGTTTGGAATATTATCTGTTCAGCTGCCTTCCCATCTGAACATGGCATTCATCCTTCTGGCCGGGATCTTGATTTAAGGAATGCTACCAGTGGTGCCATTCACGTGCTTACAAATGCCTGCAGGAAGTATTATGCTTGCCATAGTAGTAATGTGGTCATCCTTCATCTCAACATTTCTCAACCTTGGCAACTTGCAGATGTGTGGACTTCAACTCCCAGAATTTTAAATCAACTTGCTATTTAGGAGCATGTGCATGGAAAAATGTTTGTGAAGTAGGCCCTTAGAAACCTGAGTGGACTGGGAATTATCACTCCCAAAGCTAGAATAATAAGACCAAACAATGCAGAACAAAACCAGTTATGCAAACGATGTAAATATGCCTCATTATTACAGGACCCAAAAGTCAGCTATCTGAACAATTTAGCTTTATCACAACAGCCCAAGCTTCTAATTCTTATTGGCTGCCAAAGGGGGGGGGGAAGCAAAATTAAAAGCAATGCCACTGTTAAAAGCAGCACACACAGAAAAATAGCTGTTGTTTATAAAACTTCCTAGTTGTCATAAAGGCTTTTCTTAAGGTGACCAACTTTTTTACAATGAAAAGGAGGACACAAATAAATTGAAGAAAAAATATCGTAAATAAAAGAAACATTTTATTCATTGCAACAATAATACAGAATACACTATACTATGATAAGTGCGTAATAAAAAAACATTTGTAACAATAACATTTTATATTGTAATTATGCTTACATGCTGCGCCCCCGCCCGGAGCCATCCCGCCAGCACTGCTGCCCCACTGTTTAGAGCGGGCCCCGCAGCTCCCAAAGCACAGCTGTGCCGGCTCCAGCCCTGGGGGCAGCCCGCTATCAACACATCCCACCTGCAGCTGCTCTGCCAGCACCACCACCCACCCTGTGCAACCCCATGTAGAGCAGGCCCCACAGCTCCCACAGCACGGAGGGCAGCTGGCCACCGCTGCCCTTCACACCCCACCTGCAGCAGCCCTGCCGCCCCTGACTCTTGTGCCCGCAGCCATTATTGCCCTAGCAGGGCCGAAGATCAAGAGAAAGTTACCGTGGCGTCACCACTCCAGTCTCCTCCAGGTATCTTCGGAACTAACTAGGAGATGCTGTAGTTGGGTAGCAGGGAGGGGTGCAAAGTTCCTGCCAATTCGCCTTCGCTGCAGACAACTTACATGTGCAGGCTGGGTGTTTTGGCGTGCTCAGCAGCAATTCCTATTGGCTTTCAAAAGCCAATAGGAGTAGCATAGCTCATGCAAAAGTTGAAAAAAAAACATCAAAAAAAGGTGCCGGAACACCGTTCTGAGCGTTCTATGAGAAAAAAAAAGCCCTGCAGATTAGTCTTCAAATATTGAAAAGGAGGACATGTAGGAGGACACTTTTCGAGGGAGGACAGGGTCACCTTACTTTTCTGAGTACAGCAGGGAAACAGCTATAGTCTTGAAATCTTTAATCTGTGGCCTCTATTTCTATAGTCACTAGCAAAAAAAGATGCATGGCTGAAACAAAGGAGGAGGAGCAGATAAATGGGTTATAGATCATAGAATCATTGGGCTGGAAGGGACTTTAGAGGTCATTTAGTCCAACCCCCTGCTCAGGCAGGAGACTCTATACCAGATATGTCAAACTTGTGACATCACATGATGTCACGCAACGTATCTGGACTGTTTTGCCATTGCCGACAAAGGGATGGGCGCGGCTTCTATGTGACGCATCCAGCCCACGGGCTGGCAGTTTGACACCCCTGCTCTATACCATTCCAGACAAGTGGTTGTCCAATCTCCTCTTAAAAACCTCCAGTGTTGGAGCACCCACAAGTTCTGGAGGCAGATTGTTCCATTGATTAATTGTTCTCACTGTCAGGAAATTCCTCCTTAGTTCCAGGTTGCTTCTCTCTCCTTGCTTAAATTCCATCTATTGCTTCTTGACCTGCCCTCAGAAGCTCTGGAGAAGAGATTCGCCCCTCTCTTCTCTGTGACAACCTGAGGCCTACAACCGTTACGGAGCCTGCTCATCATCGGTCTCCTGCTCAAGCAGGGGGTTGGACTAGAAGACCTCTGAGGTCCCTTCCAGGTCTATTATTCTATGTTCTATAATCATGACTAATGACAGTCATGTGACTGATCAGCTTTTACAACCTTTTTTTGCAGTGGCTATTAAATGAATCCATGTCATTAAATGAACTAAAGGTTTGCTATAGGCAAAGTTTTTCTGAAAACCAGAAGCAAATGCCAGTTTTCAGCAAAATCATCATAAAACACAGTCACATGACTGCCAATTGATGTAAATGTGGTCTGGTTGCTGAGTGCTGCAAAGAGTGGGGGGTCTGGCTGCTGGAACTTTGAATCTGGGTCACAGGTACCCCCAGGTGAGTTATACTGTAAGTACCCTCAGGTAAGTCAGAACTTCAAAGAGTTGCTAAGCAACTGGTCTTTAAGTCAAAGTCTACCTGTAAGTATGCATCATATAAGTTTAACTCCTTTTAGCCTGTGGAACTCATTACCACAAGACCATGAAGATGGCTTCTTAGATGGCTTTAAACCAGAGCTGCCAATGTATGTTATGATGAGTGATTTTGCTGATTGGTCAGTTTGTTGCAGAGCCTGATGATGATCAGAGCTGAGAGGTCACCCAGTCCAAGGCAGGATTAGGACCTGGGTCTTCTCATTTCTATTCCAGGACTTTCACCTCTTCGCCATGGTGGCTTTCTCTGGAAGACCACAGTGAGAAATAAAATGCTGGATTAAGATGGGGTTGATAGGAGCATTCTTTGATTCTCGTGGAGAAAACCTATCATCTATGAGACCGTTAGGAATCAAAACCGACTCATTGGTAGATCATCATAATTGCCATCTTTAGGTTTCCATGAATAAGCTTGTGTCAATGCAAAAACATCCCATGTTAGAAGAAGGAAGAGAAGAAGGCAAGCAAAGTAATCCCTTATTTCTTCCTCCTGCACTTTCCTGCATAGCTTTCACTCATCAGCCAGTTAATTAAACCAACAAAAACAGATAATATTACAAACAGGCAGATACAAGTCTTTAAACTGTTAGCAAAAAAAAAAAAAAAAAGCACCTTTCAGCGCAGGATTTGCTGGAGACAAATCCAAGCCACATACCCAAAGCAGGCTTACCTACACATGCAACCCATGTGGAGGTTCCTAAACAATCAATTACAATGATCTTTCCATTAAAAAAAAATGCTGGTCTATTCGTCCATCAAACTGAAAGTCAGTAGTGAGGTTCATGATTCTGGATATTCCAAGAATCCTTGGAAGTTTGGCATTGAGACAAATCAGCCATCAATAGTCACATAGAGATAAACCACATTTACATACCATTCAAAACTAAGAAGGAAACAAAAAGACCAGAACGTATCTTCTCCAGCAAACAACATCCAGATA